CTCTTCTCCAGGCTGAAGAGACCCAGTTCCCTCCGTCTCGCCTCATACCCCATCCCCTGCAAACCGCCCACCAACCTTGCGCCCTATGCTGCACTGACTCCAACCTGGCTATATCCTTTCTGTAATGAGAGGCCCAAAACTGAACACAATACTCCAATTGCAGGCGCACCAGAGTCATGTAGAGTGGTAGTAATACCTCTCTTGATCTAGAAGCCACACTTCTGGCTATGCAACCAAGGGTGGCGTTCGCCCTCTTGACCACCGCATCACACTGCTGACTCATGTTTAGCCTGCAGTCAACCAGTACCCCGAGGTCCCTTTCACAAGTGCTGCTCTCCAGCCACTTGTCACCTAACCTGTACTTATGACAGCTATTCCTATGCCCCAAGTGCAAGACCTTGCACTTATCCACATTGAACTCCATCCTGTTGTCTCCTGCCCACTTCCATAGTCCGTCCAGATCCTTTTGGATCTGGAGTACCTGCTCCTCAGTTGTGGCCACTGCTCCACTTTTAGTGTCGTCTGCGAATTTGATCAGCAGAGTGTTCACCCCTTCTTCCATGTCGTTAATGAAAAGATTAAACAGGATCAGCCCCAGGACAGAGCCCTGAGGGACCCCGCTTGTTACTGGTCACCATCCCAATGATTCCCCGCTAATGGTTACCTTCTGCTTTCGGTCAGTCAACCATGCCCTAATCCACCGGACAGTGCTTTGGTGTATCCCAAAACTCCTCATTTTCTCCACCAGGATATCATGGGGCACTTTGTCAAAGGCCTTGCTGAAATCCAGATCCACTGCATCCCCTCCATCTAGCCATCTCGAAACCTTGTCATAGAATTCCACAAGGTTTGTCTGGCAGGACCTGTTTTTGCGGAAGCCGTGTTGCGTGGCTGTCAGCCTCCCTTCCCTATCTAGCATCACTAGATCTCTCGCTATTATGAACCTTTCCATTGTTTTTCCTACAATGGACATAAGGCTAAACGGTCTATAATTCCCCATGTCCTTTCTACTACCCTTTTTGAAAATTGGGACCACTGTTGCCACCCTCCAGTCCTCTGGAACTTCACCCATTCTCCATGAGGTCTCAAAAATGGAGGCCAGCGGCGTGAGAGAACCCCTGCCAACTCTCTAAGTACTCTTGGGTGTAACCCCTCAGGGCCTGGCGCCTTTGTAATGTCCAATGCCCTGAGGAGCCCCTCGACTTCAAGGGGGGGTGACTCTAATCTGTGGCCCTAAGTCCCCAGCCTCATCTAATCTCCTATGCGGATATCCCCCGTCCTGCTTTGGGGAGAACACAGAGGCAAAATAGTCATTTAGCATCTGTGCCTGTTCCCTCATATTAGCCACTGGATCTCCTTCCTCCTTATTTAGTGGTCCCTCCACTTGTCTCCCCTCCTCTTCCTATTTACATGCTGAAAGAAGCCCTTTTTGTTGCTCTTGATACTCTTGGCAAGTCTCAGCTCGTAATCAGCCTTAGCCCTGCCTGCAACGGGCCTCCTCCTCCCGGTATACCCTTTTGTCTATTTCCCCCAGTATCCATTTCCTACAGAGGTTCCTCTTTCATCTAATCCCTTTAACCACCTCCTTTCACATCCATGGAGGCACTCTCCTCCACCTCCCCACCTTACTGACTAGAGATATCGTCAAGGCTTGTGCCTCCAAAACCTCCCTTTTGAGTGCTATCCACCCCTCCTCAACTCGCTTCCCTTCCAGTAACCTATCCCAGGAGACTTTCCCCAGTCTGGCCTTCAGTTGGCCAAAGTTGGCCCTCTTGAAGTCGCAGCTTCTAGTGCTCGACCTGCTGCACGTCCCCAGTCCCCTGATCTCAAAGCAAAGGATGGAGTGATCACTCGCATCCAGAGCTCTCCTAATCTGTACTTCATCTATCAGCTCCTCCCTATTGGTCAAGACCAAGTCAAGGATGTTTCCCCCCCTCGCCGCCTCTCGGACCCTCTGTGTGAAAAACCCTCCCTCTATAGCTTCTAGGAAGCGACGTGACCTGACTGTCACAGCCGAATGAGTCTCTCAATTAATATCCAGGAGATTGAAATCTCCCATAATTACTGTGTCTCTCCCCCGAGATATCCTTAGAATCTGGTCTGTCAGGACATCATCCAGGGTCTCAAGTAACATACCCCCATTGTTATGTCTCTTTCCAGTGGAGCCACGTTACTGGGGGGCCTGAACACCCCCCCAGCTCAGTTTAAAGTCTTCTGGACGAAGCTCGCTAGAGCATCTCCAAAGGACCTTTTCCCCACCCTCGTGAGGTGTAACCCGTCCCTTGGCAGAAGTCCATTGTCAAGAAAATGAGTGTCTTGGTCGAGGAACCCGAAGCGTTCCTTCTGGCACCACACCCTAAGCCATTTGTTCACCTTGGAGGCCCTCCTGTCCCTTCCTGGCCCAAATCCCCGGACTGGTAAGATTGACGAGAAGGCCACTTGGGCCTTCAGCTCCCTGAGTTTCTTCCCCAAGGCCTCAAAGTCCCTGGTGGTCCCAACCACACCCTGCCTGGCCACATCCTTTGTGCCCACATGGATCACCAGGAGTGGCTGGTGACCCCCGGAGCGAACAGACGCTCCACTGTACTTCACATGCCAGATACGTGCGCCCGGCAGGCAGCAAACCTCCCTTGTCTCCAGGTTGGGGTGGCACACCGCCGGCTCAGTGCCCCTCAGCAGGGAGTCCCCAACAACAATCACCCGCCGCCGTACCTTCCCGGTGCTGGTGGGCAGCCATGCCCTGGCCCTCGCCTCTCCCGCAGCGCCCCCCCCCTTGCCACCTGATGTCCCAGGCTGGGGGTCCTGCTGGTCCCCTGAGGCCTCATCAGCCCCAGCCTCCCCAAGTGGAGAGAACCTGTTTCCCAGCTCCAGATTGGTGCCAGGAGAAGGAGGAGGCCGTGCTGGCCTCCTCCTCCTGTGGGTGACATACCTCCATGTCTCTGCTGCTGCTCCTCCCGTGGCCTCTCCCTCAACCCTCTGTCCAGAGGGGGGTGCTCTGGGGGGGCCTGGAGAGCTCTCTCGGTCCTCAGGCACCTCACCTCCTCTTTTAGCAGGGTCACCATCTTGCACCGAGGTCAAGTGCATCCCTGCCTCTCCTGGGGGAGAAGGGCGAACATATCGCAGCTCTCGCAGCGGACAGCAACACCCGTGACTCCCGCCAAGGCCAGCTCCTGGTCTGCCATCGGTATCCCTTCCAAGAACTTACCTTGGTCCCCCGCCTTGTTTGTCCTGCAGTTCCTCTCACTCGCCCAGTTCTCCCAGACGAAAACCCACTCGCACACACACACAAGGATAAAATAAACTTCAATTGGAAGAAAAACAAAGCACAGCACAAACAAAAACAAACAAAAAAACCTCTGTCTCAGGGAAGGGAGTCTCCGGACAGCCCGGGACGCAGTTAAGGGACGCAGACAAGGGACGTCTTATCAGTCCCTCCGGCCGGTGGCCCTGCCTGTCCGCTACCTCCTGGCTGCTCTAGCCTCTCTGGCCCCGCCCCCTTCCTCTCCACTGCTCCTGGCCCTCTGCTCCCCTGCCCAGCTCCTACCTTGCCTTCGCCAGTCCCCTGGGCACTCAGCACTCTCTCCCAGCCTCTGCCTCTGCTGCTCTGCCGCTCTGCCAAGAGGCCAGAGCCAAAAGGGCTTGCAGTGGCTGAGCACGGCCTTATCAGTCCCTCATGTACAATCACTCATAAATGATCACTTTGTATGGATATTACTCTTGCCCCCACCCCATTTTCCCCTTTGCTTCTGTTATTGCTGCTGTTACTCCTGTACTTGCAAACAATTTTTTTTAATTGGATAATGCCACCTACGGGGAGAATAATGAGAGTTCCTATGTACCCCGCATGATTTTTAAAGAAGCTATGTAATTCAGGAAATCATTTGGAGCATTGTAAGAATGGAGAAATTTGTCTGATGTGGCATCAGACAAACAAGTAAAGACTAAGTTAATACAAGTGAGTCAAGACTCTGTCCAACCACATTTATGCAGAGGTAAAATAGTATGTGCCAAGGCATGATACAGAAATCATTATTTAAGCAAGGTAGTAAAGTGTCTTATGAGTTTAGTGAGCCAATCATAGTGCACATTTGGACTGAACAGGTAGTGGTGGATTGGGATAGCAGACAGCTGTCATCATTCCTCCAGGGCTCCTTCTGAAGATGTGGGTAACAAGAGTGGAATATTTGACTACTCTTGTTGTAACCCCCCCTCTTAATCGAACATGCAGCCAGGGCATGGCTCGTCATGGGTAAAAAGCATGATCAGGGTGTCCTGTTCGCGTGAGAACAAGAACCCCAATGAATGTGCATGCTACGCAAGGCTGACAACAAAGCAGGCTACGCTCCAGCATAACCGCAGACGTTACGCCCTTGTACCCTCGCTTGCTTTAGCATGAAAAATGTGCAAATGTGGCTCAGTGGGTTTCCCCTATTGTTCGCTGTTATTCAAGCACCTGCATAGCTGTCCGTTGTAAAAGAGTATAAAAACCCTGCTTTCCTTCTGCTCGGGACCACACTCTCACGAGTGTGGGTCCCTGCAGGTAATAAAACTCCTCTCGAAAATTCCAACTGGTCTCTGGTCTCATCAGTAAAACCACGGGACACAACATTTGGAGGCCCCAGCAAGATCTTGAGACTATAAGTCTTGCCTCCCCGCGACACCAGGGACGGGCCCATAGGCATCTTATGCCTCTACCCCGGCTTGGTGGGACGTCTGACTAGCCGAGAGAGGAGTAATCGGTAAGTGCGCACGGTGGTTACCCGCCATCTGTTCTGTTCTGAATATCTGCAGATCTGGTATTAGAAAGAAAGGCCTGCTGGACGCAGCGTACGGGCCACTTTCCAGTCTGGGGGCAAGACGTTGCTCCCGGCCTCAGTTCCTGTTTAGGTTGTGTGTTTGTTTAGATTGTCTGTTTTGTTGTCTGTCTTGTTGATGTTTTGTCGTCTGTTTTGTTGATCTGACACTTGAGATTCTCAGTAATATTTTTACAGGACTTGAAAATGGGGCAGGGCCGGTCCATCCCGACCACCCCTTTGCAATGTCTTCTGAATAACTTTTCTGATTTCTTTAAGAGGGCTTCAGGATTTGGGGTCTCCATCAAGCCAGGGACCCTCCGGAACTTTTGTGAATTAGAGTGGACCACTTTTGACGTGGGATGGCCCTCAGAGGGCTCTTTTGATTTGGTCTTGGTTAGGAACGTTGAGGCTGTGATCCTTGGGAATCCCGGACACCCAGATCAGATTCCATATATAGAGACGTGGCTAGACATCGCCAAGACGAGACTTAGTTACATTAAACGGTGTCAACGGAAACTCCCAGGATCCATGTGTCATTCTCGCCTTACGGTTAAAAAGGGCGGAGAACCCCACATCAGATTGTCCCTCACCCCCTCATCCACAAAACCCCACATCCTCACGGATGATCAGACGGGGCCGGAGGACCCTCTGGACACGTGGACTCAGCCACCTCCCTATGCCCTGAATTCCCAGGCCTCCGGGAGCCCGCCCCACACTTCCCACAGTCCGTCCCGAACCCGGAGTGGACTTCCGTACGGTCCCCATCCACCTGTTCCTCCGAAGTCCACTCTGCCCTTGCCGTCCTCTGGCCCCGGGGGCAAGGGTGACAAACGGGTGTCGCTGGCCTCCCCCGATCCCGGCCCTGAGCCCTCCACCCTGTTGCCCCTCCGGGAGCTTGCCCCTGCGCAGGGGACGGACCGTCCATTTATGGTTTATGTCCCTTTCTCCACAAGTGACCTGTATAACTGGAAACTACAAAATCCTCCTTTCTCTGAAAAACCACAAGGCTTGATTTCATTACTAGAAACGGTTTTTCACACCCATCGTCCTACTTGGGATGACTGCCAGCAACTCTTGCAAGTTCTTTTTACTTCCGAAGAGTGCGATCGGATTCACCTCGAGGCTTGGAAGCAGGTTCTTGGCACAGGTGGCCAACCTACCACTGACCCGGTTATTCTAGAAACGAGCCTCCCAGCCCAACGACCCAACTGGGATCCGAATACGGTTGCTGGTGACGGAGCTTTAACCAGGTACCGCCAACTTCTTCTACAGGGCCTCTGCGGCGCAGCCCGGAAGCCCACCAATTTGTCTAAAGTTAGTGAGATCGTTCAAGGGCCCCAGGAATCCCCTGCCGCTTTCTTGGAACGCCTACTTGAGGCATATAGGCAATACACACCTATAGACCCTCGGGCGGCCGAGAACACGAGAGCAATTAACATAGCCTTTGTTACACAGTCGGCCCTAGACATTAGGGAAAAGATTCAAAATTTAGACGGGTTTGAAGGGAAGAATCTCAGTGAACTAGTCGAGATAGCTCAGAAGGTTTTTAATGATCGTGAGGACCCAGAAGTTGCAGGCACAAAGAAATTAACCAAAGTCGTCTTAGCGACCATGCAGGAAACTAGCACAGGAGTCGAGGGACTCCACGGAGGAATGGGGTTCGGCCCCGCCTAGAAAAAGATCAATGCGCCTACTGTAAGGAGATGGGCCACTGGAAAAACGAGTGTCCCCGTAAGAAGAAAGTGGACCCAAAAGGAAAGAGTCTCCTCACTCTTGAGGATGACTGAAGGGGCCAGGGCTCTGTCAATTTGGGCCCCCGAGAGCCCTTGGTTAACCTTAACTGTGGGGGGCCGCCCGACCACCTTCCTGGTAGATACTGGGGCAGCCCACTCGGTTCTCCAGAAAAGGGTTGGCCGTCTTACTGAAGAAAAGACTCAGATCATAGAGGCAACAGGCCGACCCAGGGCTTACCCTTGGACTTCAGCTTGTGTGACTGATCTGGGAAAACGGACTATAACTCATTCCTTCTTGGTAATCCCCGAATGTCCCTACCCCCTCCTGGGGCGAGCCCTCTTAAGAAAATTGCGAGCCTTGGTGTCATTCCAAGAGGACGGCACTCACCTCAGCCTGGGCTCTTCGCAGCCTGCTGCCCTTCTGCTTACTGTACCCTTGCAAGACGAGTATCTCTTCTTCGAAAGTCAGGTCCCAGAAAGCCCTTCTGACGCCTTAAAAGAACTCCAAAAAGAGATTCCAGGAGTATGGGCCGAAAACAACCCTCCTGGTCTGGCGTCTCATCAGCCACCCGTCGTGGTACAGGTCAACAGTTCAGCCACCCTGTTTCGGAAACCCCAATACCCCATTCCAGCCAGGGCGAAGTTAGGAATACGTAAACATATACAGAGACTGTTGGAAGCAGGAACTTTAGTACCCTGCAGGTCGCCATGGAACACCCTGCTGTTACCAGTCAAGAAACCCGGCACCGAGGACTACCGGCCAGTTCAGGACTTACGTGAGGTAAACGCCCGGGTACAGACTGTCCACCCTACCATGCCTAACCCCTACAGCCTACTCAGCCAGCTGCCACCAGACCGGGAATGGTACTCGGTCTTGGACTTAAAAGACGCTTTCTTCTGTATACCTCTGGCCCCGGTGAGCCAGCCTCTGTTCGCCTTTGAGTGGACGGATCCAGACCAGGGCTTCTCGGGTCAACTTACGTGGACCCGGCTGCCGCAGGGGTTCAAGAACTCCCCTACTCTCTTTGATGAAGCTCTGAGTAGGGACCTTTCCCCTTCCGGGAAACCCATCCCGAGGTTACCCTTTTGCAATATGTGGATGACCTGCTCTTGGCGGCAGAGTCCGCGTCTGTGTGCCTGCAGGCGACTCGAGACCTCCTGACCGCTCTGGGCTCCATGGGTTATCGGGTTTCGACAAAGAAGGCACAGATCTGTAGTCAGAGGGTGACCTATCTGGGGTACGATCTAAGTGGGGGAAAACGGACACTGTCGGCCAGCCGAGTCCGAGCAATCCAGAATATTCCCACGCCTATGACTAGAAGACAAGTCAGAGAATTCTTGGGCACGGTAGAGTACTGCCGGCTTTGGATCCCCGGCTTTGCCGAGATAGCGAAACCCTTCTATACCAGCACGGGAGGAAAAGGTGACTCCCTCATGTGGACTGAGATTGAGCAATCGGCATTTCAGGCTCTTAAAAAGGCTATTACCACGGCCCCTGCTCTAGCCCTACTCGACCTTAAGAAACCCTTCCAACTCTTTGTGGCTGAGGCTCGGAGTATAGCAAAAGGGGTTTTAACCCAGACTCTGGGCCCATGGAGACGGCCGGTTGCATATCTGTCGAAACGACTAGACCCAGTGGCAGTGGGGTGGCCCACTTGCATGAGATCAATTGCCGCAACGGCGGTTCTGGTAAAAGAGGCCAAGAAACTGACCCTGGGCCAGGACCTCCAAGTCATTGGGGCTCATGCCATGGAAACCCTCCTCCGCAGTCCACCGGATCGGTGGATCTCCAACGCCCGAGTGACTCAGTACCAGGTACTTTTATTGGACCCTCCGCGGGTCACCTTTTCCAAAACAGCGGTCCTTAATCCAGCAACCTTACTGCCAGACGATCAACACGAGAGTCCCACACATGATTGTGCTGAAGTCCTCGATACCCTCAGCGGCACCAGATGGACATACCGCTAGGACTGCCAGCCCTCAGCTTGTTTACAGACGGGAGCAGTTTCGTCAAGGACGGGATTCGATATGCGGGAGCAGAGGTGGTCACCAGTTCTGAGGTAATATGGGCACAGTCTCTGGGACATGGCACGTCAGCACAGAGGGCAGAACTTATTGCCCTGACACAGGCCCTCCGGTGGGGGAAGGGAAAAGCTCTCAACATTTCTACGGACAGCCGATATGCTTTTGCCACGGCTCATGTCCATGGAGCACTATACCAGGAACGAGGGCTGCTAACCTCTGGAGGGAAGGACATTAAGAATGCAAACGAGATTATGTCCCTCCTGGAGGCTCTCTGGCTACCTGAACGAATAGCTATAATTCATTGCCCTGGGCATCAACGGGATGGCTTGGCGGTCTCGCAGGAAAATAACTTCGCTGATAGAACCGCAAAGGAGGCTGCCTTAAGACCAGTAGGGCCCCTCGAAATTCTCTCGGTTCAGATGCCGTCCCGGGCTCTCCCGGACCAACTGACCTACTCGAAGGAAGATATCGAGCTGGGCAGGAAGTTACAGTGCTCTGAGACTGAGGCGGGATGGCTGAAACATCCCGATGGAAGAATCTTTCTCCCCCAAGCGCTTGGGCGGGATCTTCTTCTCCAGACCCATCGAGCCACACACCTGGGAACAGTCCGACTCTGTCAGTTATTCAGACCCCATTTCTATCTGCCCGGACTATCGACTCTGGCCGACTCCATAACCTCCGGATGCGCTACCTGTGCGCGAGTTAATGCTGGCCCTAGCTGGCCCTCTACCGCCCCAGGCGTTCGCCATTGTGGATCCCAGCCGGGAGAGCACTGGGAAATAGACTTCACTGAGGTAAAACCTACCCGAGGTAGGTATCGCTATTTATTGGTCTTCATCGACACCCATTCCGGGTGGGTCGAAGCGTTCCCTACGAAGGGAGAGACAGCCTTGATTGTTGCCCAGACTCTCCTGCATCAAATTATACCCCAATTTGGCGTACCTCTAGCTCTGGGTTCCGACAATGGCCTGGCGTTCATCGCCCAAACTTCCAAATTGGTAGCCAAGGCTCTAGGAATTGATTGGAAACTGCATTGTGTCTATAGGCCACAAAGCTCAGGGCAGGTAGAAAGGATGAACAGGACTTTAAAGGAAACCTTATCAAAATACACTCTTGAAGTTGGCGGTCACTGGACGGACCTCCTTCCGTTTGCCCTCCTACGCACGCGATGCTCCCCTTATAGGAAGGGGTTCACTCCCTTTGAAATTGTATTTGGGTGACCGCCTCCTCTGCTGCCCCGCCTGGTGGAGGAGACGTGCGCCGAGTTGTCTAACCACAACTTGCTTGAGTCCTTGCAGGCCCTTGATCGCGTCCGGCACGAGATTCGCCGACAGGTTCGGTCTAACATGGGCGACACTACTGAGGCTCTGGACCCCACGCCCGACCCTCCCCCACGTGTAAACCCAGGAGATTGGGTCTGGCTAAAGAACTTTCACCCTGTCACTCTAGGTGCCCGGTGGCTAGGACCCTTCCAGGTGATCCTCTCCACTCCCACGGCGGTAAGACTGGCCAAAAAACCCCACTGGTTCCACGTGACACAGATAAAGCCTGCCTCGCCGGTTCTCTCGGAACAATGGATGGTACACCAAACCGGAGATCCTCTGCGGGTCAAGTTAAAAAGGGTCTCCTCCCAACAGTCCTCCTGATTCTTCTCGCCTGCCCAGTAGGCTGCCCCCCCCCCCCGAACCCACACCAGCCACTTACCATGGAATGGACCTTGCAGACTGACTGGCAGACTTCCCCGCCAGTGGCAACCACCCTGACTCACACCCACGATACCTCCTGGACTTCCGCATAGATCTCTGCCAACTCCTTCCGCCCGGGTGGACTAACCCAGGCCTCTTCTCGGTGCATACGGTTGGGGGGGGGCGCCTGATTGGTGCTATGGATGCGGAACTGATACCTTGGAAAGGGGACTGTCGCAGGAGCAATATTATGGCTTTCCATTGGATGGGAGCCCCGCTTGCGGTGACGCGCCCTGCTTCTACTGCGCCTGATGGGGTTGCGAGACTTTTGCTACCTGGTTGGAAGGCCAAGATAAGGATCCTTGGCTCACGGTGAAAAGGGTGCAGGCCGGCCAGGCGGGGACTGGCAGACGTAACCCCCTGAGCCTCAAGATCAAACGAGGCGGGGAAGATTCTTGGGTAAAAGGTAAAACCTGGGGGCTACACTTGTATCTGTATGGTCCTGATCCGGGCATACTTTTCACGGTTCAGAAATGGGTTATCTCACGACCCTGGGTCCCGGTGGGACCCAACCAGACTCTCCCTCGCCCTCAGGTGGTGAACCCCACCCCCACCTCCGCTCACCACACCCCTGCCCCTTGTACAGAGCGTGCTCCGGCCTGGGCTGCTAGCCGACCATCATCCAGTTGCTCATTTACATTAGTGTCTGCAGTTTTTCAAATCCTCAACGGGACCAACCCAAACGTTACCGAAACATGTTGGTTATGCTTGAGTCCTCAGCCCCCTTTTTACACTGGGGTAGGACTGAATGCCTCCTTTTCCATCTTTGCTAATATCTCCTACTCGGAGAATTATGGGAGCGCCTGCCCATGGGGGCTCCACCCCTCTATAACATTAGAGGAGTTCTCAGGTCAAGGGACCTGTGTTACGGGTCCCGGTGGGCCCCGCGATGATCCACGATGTGCTGCTACCTTACTCCTTACCCCCACAGCACGCCCCTACCTCCTGGCAGCCCCAAATGGGACTGTTTTCGCTTGCCGATCTGGCCTCACCCTGTGCATTTCCTCCACCCTTCTCCTAACCCCCCTCGGTTCTGTGGCTACGCGAGCTCCTCAGTCGAATCTTTGTATTCTAACTTTCGTGCTCCCAAAGGTTTTTCTCGCCAACGGAGATATGACCCCCATGGCTGCTTCCCCGGATTCGCGCATCCGGCACGCTGTGCCTCTCCTCGCTCCTCTTTTAGTTGGGCTGGGCATCGCAGGCTGTGCGGCTGTCAGGGCTGGTGGCTTGATAAAAGATAGCCAGGATATATTCCACCTCTCTGAACAAGTTGATAAGGACTTGCAGGAGCTCCATGGCTCCATCAAGTTCTTGGAACAGTCCCTTGATTCCCTCGCTGAGGTGGCCCTCCAGAACAGGAGAGGATTAGATTTACTTTTGCTGAAACAAGGCGGCTTATGTGTTGCCTTGGATGAGAAATGCTGCTTTTATGCAAATCATTCAGGTCTCATCCGTAACAGTCCAGACCTAGTCAAAGCCCACCTGGAGGACCGGGAAAGGTGCCGCCAGGAGGGTCCCAACTGGTATCAGCGCCTCTTTAACTGGTCCCCCTGGCTGACCAGTCTGCTCTCTTCCCTTGCTGGACCCCTTTTAGGGTTATTCTTTTTCCTTATTTTCGGGCCCCTCCTGCTCCGTTGGGTTACCCGCCTTGTCCAGCAGCGCATTGACGCTGTGAAAGTACTGGCATTTCATGCCAGGTCTCACCTGGGCCAGGGTGATGGTTACAAGCACCTTCCGCTAGCGGCTCGATGATTTGATGATTCGATTCCCCAAGAAGACCAGTAGGGAATGTTGTAACCCCCCTCTTAATCGAACATGCAGCCAGGGCTTGGCTCGTCACGGGTAAAAAGCATGATCAGGGTGTCCTGTTCGCGTGAGAACAAGAACCCCAACGAATGTGCATGCTACGCAAGGCTGACAACAAAGCAGGCTACACTCCAGCATAACCGCAGACGTTACGCCCTTGTACCCTTGCTTGCTTTAGCATGAAAAATGTGCAAATGTGGCTCAGTGAGTTTCCCCTATTGTTCGCTGTTATTCAAGCACCTGCATAGCCGTCCATTGTAAAAGAGTATAAAAACCCTGCTTTCCTTCTGCTCGAGACTGCACTCTAACAAGTGTTGGTCCCTGCAGGTAATACAACTCCTCTCGAAAATTCCAACTGGTCTCTGGTCTCATCAGTAAAATCGCGGGACACAACACTCGTGCAGTATGTTTTTGAAACTTCATGTTGCCCCATTTTGCCTCATGTAGCCAGTATGCCACCCGCTACCACTACCTCTTCCTCAGTGCCATCTCTGGTGCTTGAGGGCTCTAGCACAAGGCACAATGAGTCCCTCCAGCAGTGAGCTGACCTTGTCACCAGCAGCCATTGCTCCTCTTCATCATTGCTTCTGCTTGCTTACAACCACTGCTGTCTGGGCCAGAGCAAAGGCAGATGTGTGAGTGGGAGCCACCAGGTCTGGGGCCCCGGCCAGGGGGCTGCTGCTGGGGTGTGGGCCCTCAGCAGGTGCCTGACCACATCAACCCCTGATGCTGTTCTGCATGTGTCCTCAGGACTATCAACATAAAACTGTCAATACCAAAATAAGATTTTTTTCAGTGAGGAAAAGCATTAAGATATATTAATAACTCATGATTTATTGGGAGCAACCATGGGCATATACATTTTTCCTACTATCAATATTTAGATACATTTTTATTGGAAATCCTTCATTTTGATTACACATTATACAATAGACAAGGCACTAAAATGTACACCTAGTAGGCATCCTTATCATGAATTCTTTGCTTGATTTTTAGAGTCTCTTTTCTTGATGAAAAATAAATATTAGTGAACAGGTACTGCATCAAAAATGTTATAATGAAATCATATTATAAAGTTCCCAAACTCCTTAAATACATCTCTACTAAGTACAAGGTACCATTTGTTCTATGTAAATGGCGCAAAAATCGCTATTTGTGAGGGTACTTTTCAGTAAAGTAATTCTGCAAGGAGCAGAACAAGCTTTGGTACTAATTAGAATAGGTCCTAGATTTCTGTTTCCAGGGACCTGTGAGGGACCATCTGAAATGATAACCCCCACCTGCACACTTGAAGCAGTACAATCTCAGATAATTATGAAATATGTAGATCCACCCCAAAGTACTTGGATGGAACCATAAATTAGGGAAAGTAGTTTGACTGGCAGTGTTAATTCTTGCCCCCAAGTTTGAAACAAGAAGTTTAAAATTCACATCACTTGCACTCAAAATGTGCTCTAGATTGCTTCAAAAATGAATACTCAAGATGCAATTGAAAAAATTGTCTTTACTTGCCCAGATATTGAGCCCACTTAGATAAAACGCTTCACCCTTCATGTTATCCTACTAAGTGGTAAGAATAATTTTTGTCACATTTCAGGTAGATATGTGGTAGGATGGTCATCTCTATGGAGCCTGGCCAGAGGCTTACACTGATGGGGGAGAAGGAAACACTAGCTTGCACAGTTGCCCACTTTTACTTGTTAGATAAAACTACATTTTCACAAGCAAGAGCCTTGAACCTTCCTAGGGGCTTGTTCAGCACTTGAGAAAGAGAGCACTACGTCTTGATATTTTTCAACAGAGAGGAGGGAAACTGAGGCTCAGATTGAATGTGAAATGCCAAGTGTGGGACACAGATCTCCTTAAAGGATGGAGGCTAGTAACATTTAAAAAAATGAAATTTGGTTACTAGTTTTAAAGCTGTTTATTTGCAAGGATCCTAACTGATATCAGTGGAAATATTTGAATGTCCTGCATATTCTACAGTTGTAGCTTGCATTTTAGATTATAATCTCCAATAGTTACCATCTGAAGAGTTCAGTCGATATAATGTCAGAATGCAACACAGTGTTGGGATTTCAGACATGCACCCTTACCCCTAAACAACTCCCATTTACTGGCAGCCTACAATGCAGTAAGCTTGTAAGGACTCTGGCACCTGCAAAATTAATGGTACCACAGCAGAATAAGGGCAGTGCAGGTGTGTTTCCTTTGAGACACAGGTCTTAGTCTTTCCATATTGTCATCCTCCCACTGGAAAAAACAAACAAACACAAAACTGTTTATTTGGAGACTCTCAACTGCCCTCCCTCATCTGTAAATTAGATGGGGCATGGGCAACTACTTTACTGTTAGACTGAATTATGCCTTTTTCAGAGATCATGGTAAAGCATTTCTTAATTTTACTGATTGTACTCTACAGAAGCTGTATCATCTCATATTATAATATTACATATTTTCAAAGAGTGTTGTCAGAATCATATGGGGTGCTCTGGAGAAGCAGAGAGAGGAAATTCTTCCCTTTAGATAGGGAGATGTAGATTGGCCGTAAAGGTACTGGACAGCCTGCTGGGCTGGTTGCTGCACTAGCTGAGTGCCCCGCTTCTCGTGCATGTAGGTGCAAACAGAGCTCCTTGTAAACAGGATGCAGGCACATCACAACACCCCTAATTTCACATATTTTCAAGAAGTTCCATAGAGCTGCAAAATGCTTCCCAATTCAGAAGTTGCAACCATACAAACAAATGAATAGTAGCTCTAAGCTTTGATGATAATGGTGATGATACAAGGTGAGCTACATTAGGAGGAGAAGTCACTACATACATCCCTTGGTTTAGGCTGCAGGTATATTATTATGGAGGTATTGAAAAAGATGCAAGCCATTCAATCAGTGAGGGTGCCAAGAGGTTTTTGGTGATAGCAGTATTATGAAGACCACATACGCATGGTTTCTGTATTTAGGCTGTATTTCTTGGGCCCAGAAATCACACTCACGCACCCCCCTCCCTTTAATCAATTGGGATTTTGCAGTATTGGCATTGCTAGTTGAGAATAGGCAACAGAAAAGCATCTACAAGATTGAGCCAACTAGATCCAGCAATGCAGAGGACTCAGCAGAAAATCTCACAGCACAGAACTCATACTGATAATGCTTCTTTGAATACACATATAGTGCCCAACTTACTGTTCCTGAATTTGGGTTTTTTAGAATGAGTTGGGTATGAACCTATCAGCTTAACATCAGTGCTGGGTAGCAACATGCAGAATCCTATTATTTCCTTTCCTGCTCCTAGTTTACTTCTGAATCTGAAAAGCAGCACCTCTTTAGACCTGTATGCCTTACTGCTCCTTTCTTGTCAGTTCCTCACAATACCATTGCAGCTGGCCTACCTACCTAGTTATGAGGTGGATGGTAAAGCCTGTATTTTATAGCCAGTACTTACCAATTATTGTCTAGGATAGCCAATCATATCTAAAACAAGCATGTACATAGGACACACTCTTCAAACACTGGATGGATGGATGGATGGATATAAAACAATCAGGCAAGAAACGGGGGTAGGGGGAAGGTGGGAGAAAGACTCAGTAAAAGCCTTTTTGGATACATTTGCTGAATGGTATTGTTTGAGGTTGTTTTCTGGTTGTCATTTGACATTTTGCAAAAACTACTGAAAGAAATCAAAACAGAGTGTCAACAGAAAGATGCATTAACTATCAACCGACTTCACTAAAATGATGTATAAACATTAATGCAGACCTGAACTTGTAACACATCAAGCTGCAGAAAGATCATTGGTGAAGAACTGCACCTTTCTGTTTGTCCATTTTCCAGGACCACAGAAATAGGTGGGGGGGGGGGGGTTGTGAAGAATATGGCAGGTCACACTTTCTGGCTGGTCACTGCACTGAGTTTGGGGGTGCACAAGTTTGTATAGACCTGAGATGCAAGTTGCTTGCCTGTTGAGTGACCTGCTGTGAAATACACCAAGTGTTTGAATCAGAGTTATGGTTACTGAAATGGAAAATGAGTGGGCACAGAGACATTTTAAATATTTCACAAGGATACATGTCTGACAAATATTCAGCATGAGAATTTTATTGGAAGGACTGGGGAAAAATACCAGACTTACTTGTTCTTGGGCAAGTTGCACTTCACTCTAAACCACACTGCAAATAACCTAGAAAGTAGGTTGTTTGTGGAACAATCCATGGTGTACCCAGCAGACAATTAGGCTGACAGTAGCTTGTCATCCCACTCCTTCCCCTTTGTTCTCAAACCAGCATTTGTGTATTTTCTTGCAAAACCAATCTTGTTTCCCCACATTCCATTTGCCACCCCTTTTTGTTCACTTCAAAAATAAAATTCAAAGATGCAACAATGCGGTGTCTTTGCCCTTCTTCTCTCCTCTCTCTCTTTTCCAGAAAATTGCACAAATGTGTTTCTTATATTTTTAAATACAACTATTTTTATTGGTCTTTTGCAAGTGGATTCTTCTAGTCATCCATATATATATTCATATTCCTGCCTGGTCACTTTCCTTGCCTGTTTCAGCTGTCCAAGGAAGCAGAGAAGTGCCTTAACATAGATGGAAATTAACAAGGTGATATTGCATATAGACTAATTTGTGCAAAGTTGTCAGGGTCCAATTGAGCTATCAATTGAAAAGGACTGGAAAGTTGGGGAAGCAAAAAAGTAGGTGCACTAAAAGGGTGGGGAGACAGTATTTCCCGCTGGGCAATTTTAAGTGCTTTTTAACTGACACTTCCTAGTGAAGTTTTAACCCTTCCCCCACTTTTGACAGCTATTTTTCAGAGATTGGTGCAGTTAATGAAGATCCCTCATGGATGTAATCCCCTTCCCTAGTAAAATATATGCAAATTAATGACTAGAAAGTAAATGAAGGGGAATACTGCATAAATCGAAGGTCTGGGAACTAAATGGGGGATAAATTTGTACTCCTGCATTAGCTGTTCCATTGCTTTACACACAAATTTGCCCTCCATTTACTTCCCAGCCATTAAATTTGTGTGATTTCCTCTTCCAAAAATTGTGCAAAAAATCTTGGCTGTTTTTTTTAAACATTATAAAGGTGGCAAACCTGTATGGAGCAAATGGAAGATCAGCACTCCCTGTTCCATCAGCAGCCTTCTCAATTTAATGAAAAAACCATCTGGACCCATAGTAACCGCAACAGTAAGTGCTTCGAAGAGGAGCCAAGGAAAGCAGGAAGGCAATATTTCCCCTTTTTAGAGTAGCTGGAGAGTCAGGGAAGTGCGGAAAAGCTGGAGGGCACTGCAAAGTGTCGGTCCAACACACAAACCCAACAGGTTCACTTTGTGAAGGGGAAACATATTTTGGTGCACATACTTCTACTTTTCTTAACCTTTTTGGTCAGGGCTCCTCAGGAGGCCAGTTGAAAGGTGCTGGTGCTGGGCGCGGGCCTGAAAGGTGGTGCCAGCAGTGTGCACGGGCCAGCGAGGGGGCAGGGCATGTGGACGCATGTGGTGAGGGGAGAGGAGGCGCCCAAGGGGAGGCGTGGGCAGGCGCACACACGCGAGGGGAGGCGGGATGTGGGTGGGCACGTGCTGTGAGGTGAGCACACGAGGCAGCGGTTTGCTTGCTTTGAGATCGTTTTCTCCAAGTGAGCAAACTGCTGCCTCCTGTGGGGCGACGTGAGCAGCAGTGGGCCAGGTCTGGCCCCTGGGCCATAGTTTGAGGACCCATGTTTTTGGTGCTTCTCAGTTGGCAAATGGTCCTTGACAATTATGTGCAAATTAGCCTATATGCTTTATCAGCTTGAATTTCCATGTTTATTATCCACTCTACTTTCTTGTTCCCTTTGACAGCTAAAATATACAAGGAACTTGACCAGGCAAGACACATATCAGACAGAAGTAACAAAGCACTTGCGAAAAACTAACAAAATAATAAAAAATTACAATCACAGTTGTGCAATTTTTGGGGGGCCATTTGTTTCTTTTTTTAAACAGTTATGAAGTGGTAGCAGTCACTCAAACTGTCATTTGGGCATCAGTAGAGGGGCTGTCACTGCTGGCAGCAATTAGACAACCATTAAGAGCAGAAGGGTTGTTGCCATTCTTGCTCAATAGCTCATTAACCATTCTCCACAACCTACAATGAAATTGCTGTCAATTGTTCATACTACCTATCACATATTACATATTGGTGGATAAAAAAACTGGAATAGCTTCTATTTGCTGAGACTTACTGTGCCTAGGATGCAAAAAACAGAACAAGTACTATGTGTGTAATAGTACATTTTGCTTGTTTCCCTAACACTATTTCTCTGTATCTTACGGCAAGCCACTTTTGAAACAGAGGGGATTTTCCTAAGCAGTTTGTGGTATGGCTCAGGGGCCTGGCATCTAAAGAAATATGCTAAAGGGCATACCCCAACCCCTAAGTGTGCTTAAAGTAGCTCTTTGGATCTTGATTTTCAGACATGGTAGACTTAGATCTGTTAATGTCCTTACTTCTCTTCAAGACTTTATCCACTTCTCTAACATTTTCAGCACTTCTTCGAATGTTGATACTTTGGGGGTTTTTTCTATGTGTATGTATTTTATTACCCCTCAGTGTTTTTCAATTTTGTGTTATTTAAAAAAATAACAAGATTTTAAAAAGTCAGCAAACTACAATACCATCCAATAAGAAAATATCAACAATCTTGTAGAAAGCCTAGATGGTTTTACAATGACCAAACAGTAAAACAAAGAAACCCAACACCACTACTGAAAGTATTCAAAAACAAAAGCCATCTTCTTACTATAGCAGCAACCTGAACTAAACAACAAGGTGATGCTTGAAATGATGGCAACATTATGTAACACTCTGTAAAGAGAGTATGCAGGGATAAAAGACACCTGTGTGTTGAGCATAAACTGAAGCTCATTATATTTTCATTAAACTCATATTCAGTTCTTTTGTAGGTACATGAGCACTAGTATTATAAGAAAGTAAAATCCCGTGTTCATAATACCAGATTGTGTATATTCTGCAATTCAGCTCACGTGGAAGAGTTTCCTAATTTGGAACTGAAATTCAGCTTTTCATGATGATGCAGAATTAGGATTATACTTAGCACTGATTTGGGCAGGCGGGCATAATTGGAGTGAGGAATACATAACAATCTTCTCTCCAATATACCAGCAACGTATTTCACTATTTTGGGCAAAACGAAGAAGATACAATCCAAAGTTTTTCAAATTACATAAATTACTGAAGGAAAATTCAGTGAAGATGATATCCAACATAAACCTCTTAACAGGTAACACCAAACAGAAGTCCAGAAGATGATAAAGAAAGAAAAGAAATTATGTATGTGGTATTTTCAGAGTCTAGAATGTGAAAGATGTGGAAGCACTGAAATTGTAGTACAATTCCTGTTCCTCTCCAGCAACAAAATGAAGGGCAGGCAGCAGAATAAAACCCCACTTTGAACTGTGAAGACACTTTTCATGTCAGTGAAAAGACATGTACTCTCTCTAAACATCCAGTTAAAAAGGGGGGTTGAGTGTGGTAAGCCTAAAATGTTGCCGAGTTCATAAGCCACTTTTGCCACCATTTATTAAGAAAAATACTGCATTAATTACTGTTTAACTGAAAACACATAGTTTTAGAATAGCTTACTTGGTTAAAAAAATTAAACCCTTGAGTGTTGTTTGAACAAAGTTTTGCAAAAGGGGTAACATAGGTCATGGGGAGTACAGAATTGGAATATTAAGAAATGGACTAGAAGATGACAGAACTGGGAAGATTATCCTTTTTCACATTAACTTCTGAATAAGGGAAGTTTGAAATGGATATGGGGCAGAATGTCCCATAATAAAATATATAAACATATACTTCCAGCCAGCTAAATTCACCTGTTTTGAGGCTTTCCACATATTTTTGGCAAGAATTTTTTACAGTTGTAAAAATGAGTATAATGGTGTTACATTTTGTAACACATGATTGCTACTGCATGTTGCTACAGCAGTGGCAATGGATAGGATAGGAGGCTACAACCCAGAGATCTGTGCTGTACCTTTCAATTCCCTGATGTGGTGGGAAATGGAACATTTGCAGCTTCTTTTGTCTGATCTTCCCCTTATCCCTTAAATGCTAGCCCCTCTCCAGCATTCTGTATGAAACACCTTTATTGCAGCCTGTTAGGAGGGTAGACCAAGGAGTCACAACAGAAAGAGGTAGGAGAAAGCAGTGATACTTATATCTTCCACTGTAATGGGGAATTAAGACATAGCACCACCTAGCAGTCCTAGAAAATCAGAATTTAAAGCACATTTAATTATGAAGTAAGAGTATCAGTGGTGCTGCGATATAGTTGGCTGACATAAACAAAAAGTCAGTACACTCTAGAAGAATCTGTAATAAGGGCCATTGTGATCTAGTTGCCCGTATCCTGGGGGTCCAAATGTGAAGAAGAGGCTGTTATTCATATCAGTAGTTGGTTAGAAATGGAAATTTTGGCAGATACAATTTTTCATGCATGGGTGAGTACACATGTACCTGCTGGGATTCCTTCTTCAGCAGGGGTCTCATCAGACAATCCTAACAAGTAGCAACAGATCTAAGTTATCAGTCTGGTAAAACATAGACCTAAAAGATCACCCACATATTTTACTTTTTAAAAATCCATTTGTGATTTCCTGAGGCTCAAGGAACTCTCCCCACTCTCTTACATTAGAATCTGCATCACTGGTTTTGCAATTTTCTGCATTCCATGTTGGTCAGATTGGCTTTACCAGTGTGGTCCACAGTTTCTATGAACTGTGTAATGTATATCAAGCTGGGTACTAAGTGAAAACATGTATTAACTTACATGGTCTTTTTTTGGAAAAGAATTTTTTGAAAATGTTATAAAAAAGAGAAGTAATGAAAACCTCACTAGTATATACTCTGGTTATTTTCCCATTTTCTTTGCCAGCTTTCTGGTATGTTTGTTTTAATGGGGATCAGTTAGATGTTAACTAGTGTGCAGTTCAGAAATTCATTTGATAGAAGAAAGCTATTCAATAGCAAGTTGCAATGAACAAATCCATTGCCAAAACTATATATCCACCTTGTTTTCATTCTTCCCATTAAACATTCCAGAATGAACCTCTATTTGTCTGACTTATTTAAGCATTTTCACTATGGTAAACAAAATACACTGGAAAAAAATGAATTGAGTCATCCCTGTTCTATAGAGGTCTGAGCCTACAGCAGCAGAGTGGCGCAGATCAAGCTTTGCACAAGAAGGAATCTGTACCCATGAATGGTGGATCTCCTGTTCCTCACACAATGAGCTAGATCTGCACACTGGCCTGTCAACAGTTCACTGAGCAAATACTTTTGCCAGTTATGTACAACAGATTGTGCAACGACAAAAAGCAGGTGGTAGTAATTTGTTCCTCATCCATGGGCTATGCTTTTTCTCTTCTCCATTCCCTCTGCTTCTACTGCTGTGCATATAAAGGGTGGGTAGGGCAGCTCTCATCCACCCATGCTAATTTTGAAGCAGATTTGACAACACTCTGAAAGAGCTTCAAGGCTCTGTTTTAGCAGTAACACACGCGGTAGGAAAAAATGTACCTGAAACTCACAGGAAGAAAGCAACTTGGACAGGTGAACAAGGCCAATCAATGAACATTCCTTATATTTCAAGAAGAAATATTGCTAAGACCCATCATATGTACTTATTCATCTTAACTGACAAGCCTTCATATGAAAGTGTGGGTATCAGTTACTGCTTCTTAACAATGAGAATACTGTTCCTCTTTTGTTCCAGTATTTGGAAAAGGGCTTCTTCCTTTTCCTTGCCACCCATCTGTATCCAGAGGAGAATGTTCTTCAAGGGCTGCTTCACACATTATGTAGCTGTAAACATGTAGATACATATATGTGTATGTGGGGCAGCAGGGAGCTATAGCCAATCCCAGCTGAATCTGTAGTTGCCATATGCGTTCATGATGTTTTTACACACAGACACATAAAATGTAAATATGTAATGCAAGAAACAACTCTGTGTTGTATGATAAGCTTCACTTTAACCTTTATATGTTGGCTTGTGCTTATTCACTCAGACACCTATGGACAGGGACTAGGACAGGCATAGCATGAAGAGGGCAATTCAGTCATACAGATAAAGGGACCTGACCTGCACTAGATGCTACAGTGGTTGACACTGAAGAGAAGCCAAACAAGCCAAACTGAAACAAATGAGGAGTTTCTGTGCCAGTTATCACACTAAGGATGCAATTCTATGTGCACTTACTTTGGACTAAACATGCATAGGACTGGGCCCTAAGATATACAGGCAGACAGTACTAATTCATTTGATGTCTCTTTCTGCTTCAGGCAAAAGCCTGAAAAGCAGTTGGAAAGCTGCTCATGCCTACATGTTTAAACAGGGTGGTGGAGAGAAGGACACATTTCCTTTGTACTCAGCAACCAAGGCCAAACAGAAAGCCAATCAGACAGTTGTTTGAAAATGTAGTGTTTCTCTTCCTGATGCAATACTGCTGGGATATTGCTATGTCTCCCACTTTACACTAATTGTTATAAAGAGAAAACCAAGCAAAGACATAATTTCTTTTGCTCAGTGTTGCAGCTGGGTCACTACACAACTGCTAGCAGCATTCTCTCTTCATACAATTATGGAGAGAAATCCAGCCCTGCTATTTAACTCTAAGATGGCTTACTCTTTCTTTGAAATAAACCGACACTTCCAACTGTAAAATACAATACATAAAATGCTCGATCTCTTGAAATTATTTTCTAGAACAGAAGTGGAGGGAAGGATATCAGTGAAAAGACAAATGGGACTCTGAAATAGGCTTGCTGTATGAATTTTAAAGTTGTGTCAGGAGCTGTAACAGTGTTTGTCCTCCAAAGAAATTTTGATAGTTTCGTTTGAAGTTAGACTATAAATTATTTTCTTAGCTCTTCCTTAAGGTTTGTTCACAGCCAACTGTGCTGCTATTCTCTCACACTAAAAATATTAATTTAGCATAAATTGACACTTCCCCAACCATTGCCTTCTACTGTATCAGTGATTTCAGTCCAATTTACTGCAGGCTACTGCATTTTCTAGGGTGAATTAGGGAATGGTCTGTTAAAAGATGAAACAGGCCACTCTTTTGCAACGGTTTGCAGCTTCCTCTCCCAGTACATTTTTTTTTTGTTGAGCACCTCCATCTTGATCCTGTGCTCCTCTTCAGCCATCTCACATTCCCTCTCGATCTGCTGGATCTTTGCCACATGAACTTCATTCATCTGGATAAGCTGCAGCTGCAAGATAGACATTTGCTGATGGTGTTCTTCCTCATGCATCTTTTTAAGATCACTCTCTTGGGCAGCCTTACTCCTGAAATTTTTATTGCCAGTTATTCTAACTGCTGAACAGGAGGGTTCAGGTTGTGAGGTACCTTCGCATACCTGGAAATGTATGAGATCTTTATCTTCATCACAAAGTTCTCTATTTAAAACAGTGAAAGGTTCTGCGGAAATAAAAGGAAATGACCAACAGTTAGGAAAAGTGATTCTGAATTTCCCCACAACCTAAAAGTCAATGTGGTGTAGTAGCCACCTGACAAGGTGTTGCTGTGAGAAGAAATTGGGATAAACCCCATGGGCAGGAAGCATGAAATGTCAGTGCGATGATTTTTCTTAAAAACTGGTGAACTGCTACATATATTTCTTTGTTTGTCTGTTTCTTTGGAATTTTTGTATGCCGTCCCATTCGCATAAGCCTCGGGACGGCTTCCAACATCATAAATAAATCCATATAAAATACATACATATAAATATAAAATCTGGAAACATCCTGGCTCAATATTATAAAACCAATAAATAAAATCAATAATTATTAAAATATTGTTTGAATAAAAAGGTCTTGGCCTGGCGCCGAAAAACAAATAACGATGGTGCCAGGCGGACCTCTCTGGGGAGCACATTCCATAAATGGGGTGCCACCGCAGAGAAAGCCCTCCTCCGGGTACTCACCCTCCTAATATCTTTCATGGAGGGTTCCCGGAGAAGGGCCTCTGCCGCCGATCTCAAGGGGTAGGAGGGCAAATATGGCCGCAGGCGTTCCTCTAGATATCCAGGTCCCAAGCCGTTAAGGGCACTTATGTCACCTAGCACAGTACCAGAAGATGGTACTCTATGCCATACTGTAGTAAGGACATAATTAAACTATCATAACTGGTTACACACCTAGAATAGCCCCTACCACCAAAAGGAAGGCATTTTGAAATACAGATTGTGGTTTCAAGATATATACCTGCATCTTACTTTTACTTCTGGCACATAGCATTGAAAAATTTGGACAGTTTCAAAATCCTGCAGATCGTGCTTGGCCAGAGCAACCAGTGGGGAAAAAAGACATGTGCTTGTGTGTCTGTTAGAGGAAGTGAAAGCTCGTTCAAACCACTGTCAGCTCCTGAAATTATATTTTCTACCTCCAGCCTTGAGGCTTCCCCTCAGGGTAAGAGTTCTCTAGGGCTGCACAAATTCTGGCTGGCTGACACCATGTTGAACACTGGATGCATTTGGAGCACCTCCAAAATGTATCAGGAAGTTAGAGAAAATCTCTTGTGTCTGTTAGCTCCAAGTTCATGAAAAGGGTTGGCGAGTACTTGTTTCACACAGCACTTTGACAGCATTCCGAGCACCCCAGAAGCACATGGCTGTGGGGTAAATCTGCTGCCCCTTTCCAAGCTCCATGCTCAGGAAGGGGAGATGGAGTTCATCAGGCTCACTAGAATGGGAGAAAGCTCACCATTGTAGGGTGATTTGTCAACTTTGAAATTTGAAAGAGATCATCTCTAACCTGTTCTGTCCAAGGCAGTGATAAAGACTTTCAGGGGCCACAAAGTTTTAACACCCATTCAAAGAAGTTCAGATTATGCCTTCTCACACGGTGTTTCATACATACATTTTAAAGTGCTACTTTAAAATAAATTAAATTACAGGTGAGTAACATAAGGTGATTATGTTATTGGAGAAGAATGCATACCTGTTAAACCTAAAATTATCTAATGGTATACTAATAATTCCTTATGTTGCTGGAATTATTCACAAAATTTGATATCTTCACCAATGTGGAATGTAAGGGATGTAGCTAATTGAGTTACTAAATGCACATACATACATGTTGTAGGAGACACAGGAGCAAATTTAGGGGGAAGCACAGAAGGCTAGAGGGAAAGGAGAGAGAGACAGAGTTCTATTGGGCAAGCGGACTTCTGCTCACATGACCCTGGATTCTGCTATAGTGACTTACAAATAGAATCACTATAAACTAATGACCTAAAACCCAATAAATTAAGGACATGTGCATACATGTATAGGATCAAACAGCAAGTGATACATTTTTTCATTTTAAAAGAAAGATTCTATCCTTTAACTTCATCTTTCTCTTTCAAAAAATTTCAGAGGCAAAAAATAGTGCTTCTGTGACTAGACTAGGATACACCTAAGGACAGGTCATGACTCTTCTTGTGAGCCACAATGCCCTGTTGAACAGGCTGTGGTAAATTGCTTATACTGGATATATTGCAAGTATATCACTGGATGAATAAATTGCAAATTTTCTTTAAGCTTTTGGATTATAAAGATACTAGAATGGTTCAGCTAGAACACAACTCTACCTTGGCTGGAAGCTTCAGGCTGATATTCAGAATCTTCTTCCGGTGGGCTCTGCAAAAAGTACACTTGCTCAGGTACCATGCTGGTGATCTTCTCCTTTCCTAGGATGTGATTACTTATAAGTGGACTAATACACCTTTTTACCTTGTCTCGTCTTTCATGTGCCATTATTTTCTTGGTCCGTGCCTTAATATTCTCCCAGCATTTCTTTAGCTGCTTGAAGTCTCGGAGAGATACACTCGGTTGAGAATTATATTCATGAGCAAGTGCTTGCCAGGTCCGTTGTTTCAGCGCAATAGTTCTAGCATCACTTTTCTTACACTCAAGTACATATTTGTATTTCTCGACAAGTGCAAGCAGCACACTCTTCTCTACTTCAGAGAAGTATTTGGCAGGCTTTATTACTTCGCTGTTTTGCATTTTCTGGCGATTCTCCAGGGTACTAAGACAATCTAAGAAAACCAACAGAGACAGCTTACCTTTGCAAGCACAAACTATTTTACAACACTTTACATTTTGTTCCAACTGGTTGCTTTCCTGCTATTAGATGACCCAAGTGTTTGTGTTGATTTTCTATTACTAGCCTAGCTACGGGTAGACAGATGGTAGATCTCCAGATGTTTGTGACTTCTACTCACAAAATCCCCAGGCAGCAAGGCCAATGGCCAGGAATGCTGGGCACTGAAGTCCAAAACATTTGGAGGTTCATTTTTTGTCCATCCCAAGTGTATGCCAACATTGAGAGTACAGTTCAGTACAAACAAAGGCAACGTAATTTCACACTAGTCACAACTCACCAGCACATGATTTTAACTTGACCACTAAATCAGATTACATGAAAAGACAATGCATATAGGACAAGATCTATCAAGTTCTATTAGCCACCCTGACAGGTAACTGGAGAGTTAGTGTTCATAAGTATTCTTTTCACAAATAATTTTTCAGAAATATTCATCTTCTATCAGTCAAGCCAACTCCTCACGCTTGACCACAGAACTATGGAACAGGCATGCATGAAATATTGCAGCCACTTGGACACCTCTGCTATTATCACTTTAAAAATCAAATGAGCTATTCATCTCCCTAATGGATTCACATTTGATCAGTAAAGGGAAAAATGAATAATCAAACCTTTAATAGTTCAAATAATTCTATAATCCCACTTGGAGATTTTCCTTGACATATCACGGACAACTTTAACAAATGCAGCATTTTTACATTCCAAAAAGGAAAGGTAGCTATGTTGGCCACCATAGCTACCTTTGCTTTTTCTGTGATTTAAAGAATACTGAATGTAGACATTCAACAGCAGGAGGAAGAGAATTTTATACCAGCTGGAATTAGGCAACATTGCCTAATTTGGCTTCTATTATCTTTTTAAAGAACATATACTATAATTATAATTAACACCTTTGTTAATTATAAAAAACTGTTTAGTTTCTCTCTACTTCTGTTTTCTATCTACTAGGGAATGTGTGTGCTACCCAAGGATACAGATAGCACTAAATAACAGCTGGATTTTAGTTTCAAAAATGGGAGGGAATAAACCATTGCTTGTTTCTTTCTCCTAGCATCCTTTGGGAGAGTCTTGGGTGCAACCAGAAAAAGCCTAGTTGGAATGCCTGGAGCTTCCTCTCGCATTCTGTCTTGAGTGACATTAAGTACAGACTCTATGACTTGATCTGCCATGTTTTTCTTCCTGTTTCCCTTTTGTATGTATTTGTTTATTGTATTCTTGTCATGTCCTTCTACACCTTCATCTTCTTTTTCCTCAACCAAAATACCCCAGTCAATTTAGCCTTTCTTCTTTGCCTCTAGCCCTTTGTAATTTGGGTTGATGTTTTATTTTCTTTTTCCAGTCCTCTGATGAAGTTTTTGTACATGGTATTTCTAACTTGGCTAAACTGCAGAAGTATGTGCTGTCTGTTGGCCAGCAAGTTATTGAAGAGTATGCTGTGGGCATATTTCAATATTGATAACTAATTATTCACATAAGAAATAACCCAGAGATGTAGACCTACATAGTCCTTTAGGATTTTTGCCACGTTTCAGGTGTCTTAGGTTTCATGGTTTTGGAGCTATGGTGCTGATTAGACAGAAAAACATTCTCATTTATTATGACAAATTAAAATGTTTGCATCAAGTATTATCGATCAGGCTTTAACATCATCATCATCATCAGCAGCAGCAGCTTATCATTTAAAAAAGAAATGATGGCTGATATCCTGTGTTTACCTCAGAGAGTCACAAGTTGTATTGGCCTCTGACAAGACTTTGTAAGATCTTGTATCAAACAGTAATATTAGATGAACCCAAAGAAAGAGACCTCTGCTTTTTTAGGGATTCCTAATGCTACATAGGTCTAGGATGCTAATAAACTAAACCAATGTAAGGCCAAATAAAATGTATATTCTGAAAATGTATATCGTCTGGTGAATATGGCACCTGCCGAAATGCTAGCTCAATAAAAAGGTTACTGCCAAATTTTGCTAAGGGTGTAAACCCATGAATACTGCTGAAATTTACTAAAGAGACAATTGTTTAGACAGCAGAAAGTCCTACAAGTCCCAGCATTCTCAGTCAGCCATGCTAGGGAATGCTGTACTCCATTTACACTTGAAAAGCAGAAATGATTAACTGCATGAATAACAAGCTTTCAAATACCAAAGGTATTCAAATGCTTCCTAGCCAGCCCCCTTCTCCAAACATATAAAGACAGGAACTCTTTACAAGTACATGTCTGTCTCAACTCCTTCTAACTCATACAACCATTCCAGTTTCATATATTCTAGGAAAAATCCATTCTAAATTGCAGCCTTCCTTCTCTAAATGCAGATTTAGCAGCAGATACAATTCCTTGAATGAATGATGACCATTCAGCATACATTTCAGTGTGTAGGCAGCCCTGCCTTAACCTATACATACTTACTTGGAAATACATTATCTCTGAGTAAAACATGCACTGAAAATCAGGCAGCAAGTCATCCACTTGGCTATGAATGCACTCTGTAAAAGCTTTGGAAAAGTCACAGAGTTTCTCTGGGGAATAATTACAAGTTCTTCCACAACAACAACCCTGAGATGTATGTAGCTCTTTTCAACTACTTTAACATTATAAGATTTTAGAAACTCTTAAAACTTTAATGTGCAGAATGTAGCAAAAACACAAATGTGTAAAAATCAGTGAAGCATCTCTAATATTTGAAGACAGCAAATAGTTCTGAATGCTAAAGAACCTATCAACAAACAACAATATCTTTAGGTTTACCTCTCACATAAATGGCTGCATAGTCAATACTATAGTCACTGGGCATGAAAGTGAAGCAGTGGTTAAATTCACACTTTGTGAAAATTACTTACAGCACTGATGTTATTCAAGCAAGAGGATCAACCCTAGTATGTTTATAAGGTTGTATAATTAAAACGGTAAAAACTGGGACTGGGCCTGAGACAGGAAAGAGACATGGATTTATTTACCAGGATTTTAATGCCCTTTAAAAGTAAAGCTCCCAAGAGGCATAACGAAAAATATACTGGCGTCAAATTTCAAAGTCTCACCTAACCCCATTGCTTAATTTTATGCACAGTCGCTTGCCCCTTTACTGGGAAGTGCTCCACTCTGTACATTGAGCCTTACCTCAGTGCACAAAAAATTGCAGCCTAACAATACGATGCTATGCGTATTTATTCAGAAGTTAATCCTAGTGAATTTAGTAGTGCTACTCCAAGATAAGTATGTATTGCACGCTAGTTTATCCTTGATGATGTGGTGCCACAAGGGAGCACAAAATCATCAGCTCTGATTCACTGACCCTTTTGCATTCTCTCTCAGCACTCAGTTTCCCAACCTGTTACTTATCTGGAAGCCATCCTAAGCGTTTCCTAAAGCAAATGATCACAAACGGGAATTAATTTATTTCATTCTTAAGTGCTTGTCTGAAATTTTCCTCCGAAATCAACAGAAATAATATACACATTTATTTATTTATTACCAGGGTTTTTTGTGCATCAGGGCCTTCTCAGACTTCCCCTTCCTTTTTCTTCGATGCTGTCGGTTTTCCTCTTCTGTTTTAGATAACAGGAAGCACAGATCCTAGCATTACAAAGAACGCCCCACCACCTATTGCATGCGCACTAGCCACTGCAGATTTACAAATGCAAGCACGTAAGCCGTGGTCCAAACAATAATGAATAGTGTTCATTTTATCGTTGTTATTGTTATTGCCCCAAGGCCCAGGGACGGGGAACAAAGAAAAAAAATCCCTGTGATCTAGATGATCTGCAGCCTTAGACTACAAAAGACAGCAGCAATCTTTGCTCTCAACAAAGCACCAGCCACCATTATCAATCTCTTTTTTCTTCTCTTCCCTCTTCGCGACTGGGTTGGGAAGCAGGCTCGTCTGTGTCTCCTCCTATCTTTTCCCACTGGCCACGCCCTCCTGCTCTTACCAAATTCCGATTTCCATCGTGGGCGGGAGCCAAATTTTGGAAGGAATAGCGCACAAAGGGAAATGTCCGGTAGGAGCGTGTTGCTTCCATTTTCCACATTATAATTTTCCGTAAGGTGCTTTAATAAGTCGTTCGGTTAGAATAAGAAGAGAAAGTAACTTCATAACCCCATTCCCTCGTACTGGGTAATCCAGTTCTAGTTTTCGTTCTGGCCGCTCTGTATTAGTTCCGACAGGGAGAGGAAGCTGGACTCTGCGCATGCGCGCTGCTAGCACCCTGGCTGCGGCTGGGACGGATGCATGGGAGTTTCGGCCTGTGAGTGGTTTGCGAAAGAAGTCGGAGGGGTCGGGCTGGAGGTTGGGAGTTTCTCTGTTACCTTCGGCCGCGTTAGCTGTTCCTGAGAGCCTTCAGCGTTCTTTTCTCGGACCTGAGATGGACACTGGGGCCGAAGGTCTATCTAATCCAGCTATTCCCAACCAGATATTTTGTGCTACAGTTCCTATCAGCCCTAGCCGGCCGGACCAGTGGTTCGCGTGATGGCAGGTGTACTCTGGAACATCTCAGGTGCACCAGGTTGGAGAAGGCTGATCTGGTCTTGCCCAGTTGTCAGTCTAGGTGCCTTTGGGGAGCCTACAGTGCAGAAGTAGCCTGTCTTGAGATTTGGAGGCTTTTTAAAAAGACGTTGTGGCTATTGGCAGTAAATATGCCTGTCTTTTCTCCATGAATTTTTATATCTAGCTCATGGCCCTTGTTAGATCTTAGGGTAACAAATTCCATCGAAGAAAATTATTTCTTTATTTTTAGGTCGCAGCATTTCCAGCGACTTTTCTTCTGGGATGCATTTTACTGGTGTGTATCACATTATGGATCACTGCCTTGTCGTGATAAAGGGGCTTGCGTAACTCAATGAAGCTATGAGCTATGCCGTGCAGGGCCACCCAAGACAGACAGGTCTGACAAAACGTGATCTATTGGAGAAGGAAATAGCAGCCCACTCCAGTATCTTTGCCATGAAAACCCCATGGACAGTACCAAAAGGCAAAAAGATATGATGCCAGAAGATGAGTCCCTCAGATCGGAAGGTGTCCAATATGCTACTGGGGAAGAGCAGAGGGCTAGTACTAGTAGCGCCAGAAAGAATGAAGCGACTGAGTCAAAGCCGAAAGGACACTCAGTTGCAGATGTATCTGGTGGTGAAAGGAGATTCCAATGCTGTAAAGATCTATACTTCATAGGAACCTGGAATGTAAGATCCATGAATCAAGGCAAGCTGGATGTGTTCAAACAAGAGATGACAAGACTGAACATCGACATCTTAGGAATGAGTGAACTAAAATGGACAGGAATGGGTGAATTTAATTCAGATGACTATCACGTATACTACTACGGGCAAGAATTCCTCAGAAGAAATGGAGTAGCCTTCATAGTCAATAAAAGAGTAGGAAAAGTGTGATGTAGTGGTTAAGAGCATGGGACTGGGACTCAGACGTTCTGGGTTCTAGTTCCTGTTCAGCCATGGAGCCAGCTGGGTGACTTTGGGCTAGTCACAGACTCTCAGCCCAACCTACCTCACAGGGTTGTTGTTGTGGGGATAAGATGGATGAGGAGATGTAAGCTGCCTTGATCCCTTTGTAGGAAAAAGGCAGGATAGAAATCAATCAATCAAAGCAATACTGGGATACAATCTCCACAATGACAGAATGATCTCAGTTCGAATCCAAGGCAAACCATTCAGCATCACAGTAGTCCAAGTCTATGCCCCAACTACTGGTGCTGAAGAGGCTGAAGATGACCGGTTCTATGAAGGCCTACAACACCTTCTAGAATTAACACCAAAAAATGACGTCCTTATCATCATGGGGGATTGGAATGGTAAAGTAGGAAGCCAAAAGATAACTGGAATAACAGGCAAGTTTGGTCTTGGAGTACAAAATGAAGCAGGGCACAGGCTGGTAGAATTTTGTCAAGAGAATACGATGGTCATGGCAAACTCTTTTCCAACAACCCAAGACATGACGCTACACATGGACATCACCAGACAGTCAACACAGAAAACAGATTGACTACGTGCTCTGCAGCCAAAGATGGAGAAGCTCTATACAGTCAGTAAAAACATGACCAGGAGCTGACTGTGGCTTAGATCATGAGCTTCTTGTTGCAAAATTTAGGCTTAAATTGAAGAAAGTAGGGAAAAGCGCTAGGCCACTCAGGTATGACCTAAATCATATCCCTGATGAATATACAGTAGAGGTGACAAATAGATTTAAGGAATTAGATCTGATAGACAGAGTGCCTGAAGAACTGTGGACGGAGGTTCACAACATTGTACAAGAGGTAGCAACTAAAACCATCCCAGAGAAAAAGAAATGCAGGAAAGCAAAATGGCTGTCTGAGGAAGCTTTACAAATAGCTGAGGAAAGAAGGGAAGCGAAAGGCAAGGGAGAAAAGGAAAGATACACCCAATTGAATGCATAATTCCAGAGAATAGCTAGTAGAGATAAGAATGCCTTCTTAAATGAACAGTGCAAAGAAATAGAAGAAAACAGTAGAATAGGGAGGACCAGAGATCTCTTCAAGAAAATTGGAGATATGAAGGAACGTTTCATGCAAAGATGGGTATGATAAAGGACCAAAATGGCAGGGACCTAACAGAGGCAGAAGAGATTAAGAAGATGTGGCAAGATTACACAGAAGAACTCTACAAGAAAGATCTTAACATCCCTGATAACCACAATGGGGTGGTCACTGACCTCGAGCCAGACATCTTGGAATGTGAAGTCAAATGGGCCTTAGGAAGCCTGAGCAACAACAAAGCTAGTGGAGGTGACAGTATTCCAGCTGAGCTATTCAAAATCTTTAAAGATGATTCAGTAAAAGTGCTACACTTAATATGCCAGCAAATTTGGAAAACTCAACAGTGGCCACTGGATTGGAAAAGGTCAGTTAACATTCCGATCCCAAAGAAGGGCAATGCCAAAGAATGTTCAAACTACTGCACCATTGCACTCAACATGCTAGCAAAGTTATGCTCAAAATCCTGCAAGTTAGGCTCCAGTAGGATGTGGACTGAGAACTAGCAGAAGTACAGGCAGGATTTCGAAGAGGCAGAGGAACTAGAGATCAAATCGCCAACATACGCTGGATCATGGAGAAAGCTAGGGAGTTCCAGAAAAACATCTGCTTCATTGACTATGCTAAAGCCTTTGATTGTGTGGATCACAACAAATTGTGGCAAGTTCCTAAAGAGATGGGAGTCCCAGACCATCTTATTTGTCTCTTGAGAAACCTGTATGTGGGTCAAGAAGCAACAGTGAGAACTGGACACGGAACCACTGATTGGTTCAAACTTGAGAAAGGAGTTTGGCAAGGCTGTATACTGTCGCCCTACCTATCTAACTTATATGCAGAGCACATCATGAGAAAGGCGGGGCTAGATGAATCTCCAGTTGGAATTAAGGTTGCTGGGAGAAATAAGAACCTCAGATATTTAGATAATACCACTGTTATGGCAGAAAGTGAAGGGGAACTAAAGAGCCTCTTGATGCGGATGAAGGAGCAGAGTGCAAAAGTTGGCTTGAGACTCAACATTAAGAAAACTAAGATCATGGCATCCGGTCCCCTCACTTCCTGGCAAATAGATGTGGAAGAAATGGAGGTGGCGACAGATTTTATTTTCCTGGGCTCCAAGATCACCACAGACGCTGACTTCAGCCAAGAAATTAAAAGACGCTTGCTCCTGGGGAGGAAAGCTATGGCAAATCTAGACAGCATGCTAAAAAGCAGAGACATCACCCTGCCAACAAAAGTGCATATAGTCGAGGCTATGGTTTTCCCAGTTGCAAAGTATGGCTGTGAAAGTTGGACCATAAGGAAGGCTGAGAGCCGAAGAATTGAGGCCTTTGAATTGTGGTGCTAGAGGAGACTCCTGCGAGTCCCTTGGACTGCAAGGGGATCAAACCAGTCAGTCCTAGAGGAGATCAACCCTGACTGCTCTTTAGAAGGCCAGATGCTGAAGATGAAACTCAAATACTTTGGCCATCTAATACGAAGGAAGGACTCCCTGGGGAAGAGCCTGATGCTGGGAACAATAGATGGCAAAAGAAGAAGGGGACGACAGAGAATGAGGTGGCTAGGTGGAGTCACTGAAGCAGTCTGTGTGAGCTTAAGTGGACTCCGGTGGATGGTGGAGGACAGGAAGGCCTGGAGGAATGTTGTCCTTGGGGTCGTGATGGGTTGTACACAACTTCGCGACTAACAACAACAGCAACAATCACATTATGTGTCTGAAGGGGAGCCCAATTGTTTTGAAGGCTGTTCTGTTTAGCTGTTGGCCTCTTTGGAGCATAATCTCCTTTCCTGTTTTCTAACATGAATTTTTGAAGTGGCCTGCGTGTGTGCATGGGCGCATATATATATATATATATTATAATATATTATATATATATGTATGTACTTGTTACAAATAAATGGAAAATACTTTGTATCTTACTGCTTGTGAAATCGTTCAGTATCAGAAGAAGCATATAACTTCTGTTAGGGGTGATAACTGATATATATGCTGTTATTGATGGTATGTGCTACACATTTAGCTTATATGGGATATAGGGATATGTGTAGCAGTACTGAAATTTTTCTCTGTGTGTGTGTGAGAGAGAAATATTTATCTGTAGAAAAACTAGTTCCCAGATTTTGGTCACATCCCAGTGTGACTGAGAATCAGAACCATGCAAGTAGAGTTTAATTTGATTTTTAGAGGTTGTCATCTTCATATACCCTAATAATAAACTCAGGTGATGAATTATGATGGCTACATAACAAAATAGGACTACTGGGAAACAAAGAGGAAGTATCAGCATGCTTGGGCAACCTCAAGGTTTGCAGAAGTTGAAAAATGCTATAGGGAAAAACACTACAGTGATAGGGGGAAATCCAGCAACCAGGAGGAGAACTGAGCACCCTCAGCATCCATAAAAAGCTGAATGTTGTTGGGAAAAAAGGGGATAGAAATTTTATGGAGAGGATATTGTAAAAGAAGGCATGTGCTGGCTCCAGCTCTTAGAAGGTCCTTACACAAGTCTGGAGACCTTCTTTTTGTAGTAAGTCAGTCTTTTTTGCATCATTGCCAGCAGCTGCAGTTACTCCTTATCCTCTTGCTTCTACTTACTTGACAGCAACAGAACCAGTGAACACATGGACAGTAACATTGTTCTGTTTTCTCAATGACATGATTGACTTTGCAAGAGTGCAAGTTGATGAGCAAGTACATTGCAATGGTGAAAAGGAGTAGTAGGCGCTTGTCAGTGGCCTCCTTGGCAGGAGCCCAACCAAGCCTCTCTTTGATGCTGGTCCTGAGTGCCTGGAAAACGGAACTTGAGTACACCACACAGCAGTATTTGTTGCAGATAGCACTGTTGGTTTCAGCAGACAAATTAATGGGCTGGAATCTGAGACACAGTTGAGAATACAAAATGTGCTTCACACAGAGACTTTAGCAGGGAAAGGCTTACTGGTATTCCTAAATAGACTTTTGCTCACGTAAATGAATGGATTTCATTCCTTTGGGGAAAATGAAAGGGTCGCACTTGATGGACACTTGTGGTGGGGAGAGAAGTTGCCTGCCACCCATCTCTGGTGGCTTGCCCATCAGGGTCCCAAAAAAGGGGTACTGAAGAACAGAGCTCCTTATTTCCTGAAGGCAACTCAAACACTGCAGAAAAGAGCAATGTATTTCTTGAAACATGTCTGTGTGCGTACACACGTACTATACTCCATGTACAGACACACTTGTGAGCAACAAGACGTACAAAGGAGTACAACAATATTATAGTTTACCTAATAAAAAAACTGCATTAATGTTAATGTCAACATTGTTTCACATTTTCTTATAATGAAAAAAGGACACAATTTCCTATTTCTCTCTCTCTCTCTCTCTCTCTCTCTCTCTCTCTCTCTCTCTCTCTCAATTTTAGTATCTCATTTTAGTTAGCTGAGCTTCTGAATTATTCACTTTGTAGGTGGCTACTATGGGACTTCTCCAATTCCTTGTTTCCACTAATTTTGCAGCAATTCATACATTAGAAACCTTTGAACATAGTATATCTGGAGTCTGTATAGTCCAAATTCTTATCCTCTCCTGCAACCAGGAATCTGGTTTTAGAAGGGAAGGGGGAGAACATGGTGAAGCTTGGCAACACAACTTTTGGGTTGGAGAGTCGCTTTTCTTATCTCCTTTGAATTTATTATGATGTTGCTGTTTGCCTAAAGTCAGGCTATTATTATAACATTCAAAAAGTGAAAATTACTATCTCTAAAAGCCTGATGAGGCAGGAATACCAAATCCTTAACTGTGTTCTGCTTATGTGTGTTCATAATATGTTGACAGAGTGCTTTATATAGAAATATTCATGTTGTATCTCTTTCTGCAAACAGAGCTTGAACACATTTTGTCAAACTCAACTCTTTTTTTGTATACCCTCACAATTGTTGTAGGTGGATTTCTTACCTTTTGAATTCTACACCATGGAAACTGAAGAACACAAGCCTTACAATGCCACACCTTACTATTGCAATGTAAGCATTGTATTTTGCATTATTAAATGAGATCTGTGTATAGTTTCTAGGGTATCTGCTCTGTGGTTTCTTCCAAAGGAGATGAGAGAATGCTCCATTAGAGATTCATATCACAGAATCTCCTAAGTGAAGATAGAATTATTTTTAAACCAATTGAAGTTTGTAGAGCTGATGGGCATTCAAAGTGCCATTTCTGTGCTCTGCCTATTGAATAAAAGGGGTAATCCCCTTAGGCTTGCCTGAAATAACAGAAAACATTTATATACTACATAGTTTGTACAAATGTCCAGCGGTGGTTCATCAGTGTGTACATGAGTTGTGGGTAATTACTGTATATAGAGAATCAAGAGTTGTGTCTGTATTTGGTTCACTGTATTTCTTTTAACACTTGAGTGATCCTTCTGTAATACAGGTAACCACAGAGCTTACTGTCCACCAGTGTTCCAGGGAAGGAAGTTAAAAGAAAGAGAGAGGTGCCTCCCTTGAGATCATTAAGCTGGCTATGTTTTTCCTCTGCCTACCATGCCAGTTAATACAATTTACAGGCAGCAGCAAGTACATTTATTATATGAGGAGTAGTTAGACTAGAACATATTTAAAAAAAGATTTGTAAAAGCTTTACCAGACAAATAAAAAGACATCCCATGATTAGAGTAACTTTACTGGTACCGTTTTTTACTCTAGAATCTTAGTTTCTATTTTCCATTGTCTCTGGAGCATTACTGATGTATGTAATGAGCACGCTGCCTTCCACTATTGTTCCCCTAACCAATCCCACCCCCTACCCCAATTTCCAGGAGGTCCATCCTGAAATGCTATATATGAATGATTTCCAGGTCTGGAAGAACCTAGTTCTGGCAAATCTCCCTTAGAATGCTGACATAATAAGAATTCTGCTGCATTGGATTAAGGGTTCATATAGTTTAGCATGCTTATTTCCAGCAGTGGTCAGCCTGGTGCCTCTGGAAAGCCAAAAAGCAGGTTCTGAATCAGCCATCTCCTACTATTTGTCTCCCAGCATCTGGTATTTAAAAATATACTGTCACCAAATAGGAAGATGATAGATGTTGTTCTCCATTACTTTATGGGAGCTTTTTAATATACCTAAATTTGTTGCCATCACTTTATGTTATGAATTGAATTCTGTAGGTTAATCAAGCATTGTTGTGTGAAATATTTTATTTGACCTAATTTGATCCTATAAATGGTCCATTGATCCTGAGTTCTAGTATGAGAAAATACTCTATTATTCTCAACTCTCTATACTTTGTTATGACCTTCTACACTTTCATCTTTTTTTCTCATCTAAAAAAAAAAAAAACCCTGTCACTTTATCCTTTCTTCAAAGGAGGTGCCTCCAGACCTTTGTAATTTGGGTTGTTTTCTTTTTTCAATGTTCTGATTAACCAGGGAAAACTACTTGCCTCAGTATTCTTCCAAAATAGTTCTTTTTTCTATTATATTTGCTGTATACTTTTATATTATAGAAAAAACTTTTTGTTACAGATTTGCAAAATCTATTGTGCATCTCCTGTAAACTTGCAGACCCATTTCCTTGGAAACAAGCACAAGGCGGTAAGAACAGTTTTTTGTTTTCCCTTTCAAAGTCATAGAATCATAGAAGAGTTGGAAGGGGCCAGATGGCCGTTGGGCCTAGCCTCCTGCTATTAAAGGACACTGAGTTACACCATCCCGTTTAGATGACTGACTAAACACTTTTTGAATGTCTCCAGTGAGGGAAAGCCCACAACTTCCCCAGGTAAGGTTCCATTGTCATACCCCTCTGTCAGTGAGGAAATTCTTCCAGGTATCTAGTTCTAAATCTAGTTTCTTTTAATTTAAGTTTATAATTCTGTGTCCTGCACTCTGGAATGAATGAGAAGAGATCTGGTCTTTCCTCTCTGTGACAGCCTTTCAGATCCTTGTAGAGTGCTATCATATCTCCCCTCAAGCTTCTGTTCCTGAGGCTGAACATGCCCAGTTCTCTCAGTCTTCTTCATAGGGCTTTGTCTCCATTCCATGAACCATCCTTGTTGCCTTCCTCTGTACCCGTTTTAGCTTGTCTGCATCTTTTTAAAACCTAGATGCCCAGAACTGGGTGCAGTACTCCAGCTGATGTCTGACTAGTGCTGAGTAAAGGGGAACTAGCACTTCATGTGTTTTGGAGGCAATGCTTTTGTTAATACATCCCAAAATAGAATTTGCCCTTTTTGCAGCTGCATCACATTGTTAGCTCATATTGAGTTTGTGATAGACAACAACCGCAATATCTTTCTCCTTTGTAGTATTGTTGAGCCAAGTGTTCCCCATCTTGTAGTGGCGCATTTGGTTTCTTGTTCCTAAGTGAAGGACTTGGCATTTGTCCCTACTGAATTTCATTCTGTTGCTCTCTGCTGAGTGTACTAACCTATCAAGATCACCCTGGATCTTCTTTCTGTTGTCCAGGGTATTTACCCAGCTTTGTGTCATCTGCACATTTAATTAGCTTTCCTTGTACTTCCTCATCTAAATCATTAATGAAAGTGTTAAAGAGTACTCGCTCCATGGGAATGATGTTATTGTTACAGTTTTCAGTTGATTAAAAGCAGCCCCAACTGCATGTTGAGCTTTAGAGCAGGTCTTGGCTTTGTGTACTTACTCCCTGTCCTTTCCCTCTTTGTGGGGAGAAGCAAATGTCCAGACTATGTGACGCCTTTAGTTTCATGGCTTCTTTTGGCTTACCACAATGCGAAACATGAAGATAGCCCTGTGTGAACTGATGTATTAGATACTAGGACTAATACTAGGATTATTTTTGCAAATAAATGCACAAATGTTACTCTCTAATAAAAGCATCTTGTAGTACATGCACGTCTATAAATTGTGCTATTTGTGGCATAAAAACATAAAGCTTTCCTGCCAGATTATTTGATGGTCACCAAACTTTTATGCAGTTTTTTCTCATGCTAAAAAAATAAGAATGCCTTTCCTAAGTCTCAGTTACTGGCAAAGAGAGCTTTAAGCTACAATGCTTGGTTTTGTTGGGGAGGGTTGTTTTTTGTTTTTAATGCTTAAAGTATAATGGTTTACCATTTGCCTTTTGCTCCAGTTTCCACTGGAATGTGACCCCTGAGATGTTCTTCAAAATTGAATTCAGCCCAGAGTTTAAGGCTGAAAAAGGTTCCCTACACTCACAGTAGGTTACTCACCTAGCGAGCAGTTATTGATAAGTCTGTTTTAGATGGGGAATTATGAAACGACTACTTCTACTGCCTTAGTTCCTTTATCATGGAAGCACAGTTATCTGCCTAAATGGATTGTAGGGAAGAATAATGACACAAGGAACTGTTGGCTATATGGAACTTTAGGGAAGATGCACATAATACCTGTCTGAAAGCCTGGAGAGTCTCTGCCAATGTGTACATTACCAGCTAGATGAACCAGTGAGCTTGTTCTAGAAGGCAGCTTTTGTGCACCAGAGTCTTAGTGAACATCCCATCTGGCTTGTCTTTCTGGGACAGTACTTGACTTGCTGAGTCACAAATTCTGTTCCAAACATTGACTTTTTTGTTCAATATTTAGTATTGGTATTGGATGGCATATAAAAATTTTAAATAAATTAAGTATTTTGAAACCTCATTTTTATATGAATCTCTTCTTTCATGCCCACTAATCTGAAAACTAATGAAGGTTGAAGATGCCCTGAAAGCCCATGGCATTGGTAAGTGTTGAAATATAATTCCATATGAACAGAAGTCTTTACTACTCAGGCGAATCGTTCTGTGTATGGATGTCTTAAATAGTTTGCTACTTAAGTTGTAAGTATAATGTCAGCAGTGTATTTTGGGTTCCTTTGAAGTGCAGAATGAATGAAGCCATGGATTCCAAATGTACTCTGGTCCTTTTATACTAACCTTTTATACGGAAAATCTAACAAGTGATCTGGAATGCACTTAAAGTGACTAGAAAGAGCTTTCCTCTTACTATAATAACTCTAGAGAAACAACAAATAGAGGTTCCTTTATGGTTAATTCAAAAGCAGGTAATAAATTGAAGCCTGTGTTATTTTGTTTACTCCAGTGCTTAGTCCTCTTTATTATTACAACATTACAATAATTTGGTTCAGTGTAGTACTTCACAGCATATTATACTGGCGGTAGCTGGAACTAGCAGTTCGAATTAACTAGTGTTACCCAACTTGGTGCCCTCTAGATGTGTTGAATTGCAACTTCTAGCCCTGCCCCTGCCCCTCCTCAGCCAGGCTGGGAAATGCTAAGAGTTGTAGACTAACACTTTTGGTGAGCACCATGTTGCGGAAGATTGGAATAAAGGTTGTACTAACAGATATTTAGCCCTGGTTCAGACATAACCTTCCTGCCTTAATAAACTCAGTTTATTATGTTGGAAATAGGGTTTTTATTCTGTCCTCCCCATCACCACCTGTTATTCTGATGCTTCAGTCATGACACGCTTTAAATCAGTTCCCCATTACATCTGACTTAAGGAACTAAGATTTAATATTGGTTTACTAATCAGGCATTTAAGCCCTGGTTTGATGTTTGGTTAAAAAGCCACTTAGTACATTGACAATAACTGTAGTTCCCTATGTTGGATATATCAGGAAACTGGATCATGATTACCACATCGAAGTCATTTCATGAGGAGAGCAAATAGTGTTACCTGCAGACCTCATGCCTGTTTCCAGTTAATAAATTGTGATTTATTAAGAAAGGAATGTTGCCTCTAAACCTCAATTAAAATCATTTGTAGGACATATAGTATCACTCTTGGTGTGTGTGTTGGGGGCTCTTTGGAATGTTAGAATTTGAATTGCAAAGTTGGGTGAAATTAATTGCAGAATTTGAATTGCAACTTGGGTGAAATTAAACCATCTCTTCTGTGTCAGTACTTTTTACTTGCATCTTAACTGGTGCAAATTAAAGAAGCAGTCTTAGCTTCACATTATACCTAACTATAACTTCAATGACTATGTTTTTACTACAAAGCTCTTCTAACAGATGCAATTTTGTAGCACAGAAGTAGGAGGAGGGGTTCATAACCCATCCCCTGTCTACTGCTTTCCCCTCGCAACTCATTCTTAGCCATTCAAAAATTATTTCCCCTTTATTGGTATGCTAGACCCAGTTTCCATTGTAGTGAGTGAAGCATGTTCTATGTTTGTGGTAGTATATTTATTTAAAATGCTGAAAGTACAGATGGGTGTTGTTATTCGGAATAGATGAAATTATAGTTCAGGATGGATGCTTAAGATGGGTTTTGTATCATTTCTGCATTTTACATGTATAAGCCATGAATTAATGAAAAACAGCATGTTTTATTTGTGTGATGTGTCTGCCAGATCATATCCTTCTTTGGCTGCAGTCATAAACATGCATTCATACTGGGAAGACAGTTTCATTTAAATCATGAATGTTAATATAACATTCATATAACTATGACTAGAATCAGAATGTTAGATCTTAGATTTCTGAAGAAATTACTTATGGCTATTACTGACTGATTTTTGCAGTTAAACCTCTGAGTGCTACAGGGGAGCCAATTAGACCACCAGAAAGCCTTCCAGATTACAGTAAGAGAACAAACTTGACAAAAGAGCCATGATTGTTTTGAGAACAGAATTTTATTATAGAAGTAAAACTTTCTGCCTTCCAGTCATGATAGATCTTGTTTTAATGAAGATTATTTACTCAGAAAATGTTAGTTGGTGTTTTGTTTTACCATGGTTACTAAACACTTCATTCTTGACTGTATTTGTCTGATCCATATGGAGCCTGATATCATTGTAGACTTACCATGTTTAGTGGATGCATATTTTCGAACAAATCCCATTGAATGCAGTGCTACTTGCTTGTGATTAAATGGCTACCCTCATCATTTCATCTTTCAGATCCACATTTTCTAGTTTTAAGGAGGTGAGCAGATGGGTGAATTAAGCAGCCTATTAAGGAGGCCAGGGGAGTGTGACTTTCTGATAGTAAATAGCTTTCTGTGTAAACCAACTGAGTAAACACACAGCTGTGAAGGCAGAAAGCCAGCAGAGGTATGTGGGCTATCACATGTATGACAGTCTGCTTGCTGGACAGAAATTAGTGTGCTCCTGCAGTGTGCTCCTGGCTCTCAAGAGTATGTTTATTCATCCTGTTGAGGCCAGGGTAACTGGAGTAAGACCTGAAAGTGGATAAGCCCTCCAGGGGCTGATATCTGTGTTCCAGTCCCATGGTGACAATTTCTTTGCTGTCGCTGAGAATGAGAGTCTCAAGGAAGATGGGTATCACTCCAGGGAAGAAGGAAACAATCACTTAGGAGATTCATCTTTTGAGGGAAGAACAGATTCCTTCTCATGTCAAGATGATGCCTACAGTGGGAATTGTGTTTGTGGGCAATTTGATATTTAGAGAGCTGGGAGGTGGGGGGAATAGCTGGGTTGATAACAGGCATGTAAACTGCATGGTGAATTGCCTACCAGATGTGGAGTTTGTGGATATTCACCATATTGAAGCTAAGTAGGGGTGGGGCTAGCCTGAGCTTGGAGGGAAGACCATCTGGAAACTGCATGTAGTTACCTTAAGTTCCACGATGGGAGAAAGGTGGGATATAAGTATAATAAATAAAAGACCACGTATTTTCTATATAGCATTGTGGCTAGTATTGAGATGGAGTCAGTGGTTTAGGTTCCTGTTAGTGCCTCTGATGTGGGAAATTGTGAGGGCCTGTAGGTCAGATTGAGCTCCAGGCACTGTGGCTGTCTCCCTGTGTGACATATGGAACATAGCAGTTCATAATACACAACATGCTTGTTTTACAGTTCAAACTGAGCCTGAAAAAGATTTGGGAAAAACTTTGGAAGAGCAACTTAATTCATGTAAACATACTGAACCTGCTCTTGGTAAGTTCTTTTAAGTGAATGAATTTTGCTGTGTGAACTCTTAAGATGTTTGAATGTATGCATAGGATCAGGCTGTTAACTTGTTAGGTTTACATGGAAATAAATGCCAGCAATTTCAGTTTCTAAGAAGTCATAGAATTTCAGCCTGAATGTGTAACTGCTTGTGTCACTTTTAAAACTAAATGTCAGTAGGAGATTGTGTTCATAATTGCAAGGAAACTTTTGATAAATGTGGTGGTAAAAGTATGAAGGTCAGGTGGGAATGTGTCCATTGGGAAAGTATCATTGTTTTGGGAGACCATCTTGAGCTGCTGCTGCTGCTGCTATTAGCAACAACGGCAACAAGGTTGCATTTATATCCTGCCTTTTTTTCTTCTTTTGAGGAACCCAAAACTGCTTACATAGCTTCATTTTTATCTTAACAACAACTCTGTGAGGTAGGTTAGGCTGAGTGTGTGTTATTGGCACAGTCATCCAGTGAACGTCATGATAGAGTGATGACTAGAACCTTTATCTCCCAGATCTGCCATCCAAAACTGTAATCACCACACCGGGTTTAAAAGTCCTCTTTTCACTGTGGCAGTAAATCTTTGTCTAGGTTGTACTGTTTCAGACCGTAGGTAAGCACATACAGGAGTGAATGCTCCTTCATACAGAAAACTGCCATTGAAAGGGAGGGTTAGGCTAGAACTCTTTTCCCTGACACCCCATTTTTCTAAAATATGTATGTGTGTATTTCTAAGTCTTTCTTCATCCTTGCTGATACTAGTGGAATGTACAATGAATATAACCATAATGTGTGGAGGAATCATTCATGGGAACCCATGCCTGGAGCCTGACAGCTTACAGGCCTGACACAGCTTGCTGCCTGAGAGAGAAGCAGGTTAGGTAGAAGCAGGTTAGGTAGCTTTTGCCAGTGAGTACAAGGGGATTCTAAAAGTCTTTCATGGTCATAAGCAGAGCAGTTGGCCTTCATTTTGTAATTAAGACTAGTGCTGAAAAATTGGGCAGTGCTTTGTGAGTATATGATACCTTGGCAAATGAAGTTCTTTTAAAATAATTCTGCTTTAAAATGCAGGCCTCCAATATGTAACTGAATATCAGTCCAAAGAAAACCTAATTTATGAGTGTAATCTGTGTGGGTGCCAATCAGGACTGAGTAACATGTTCATGCATGTTTTGGGTGTTAAGCACAGACTGGCATACCTGGTAAGTACCCCCCCCCCCCCTTTTGTAAGAATGGCAATATGTGGTGCATTAAGAGAGTACACAGTTGGGGGTATTGCAAAAGTGGGAGAGAACCACTGATGGGGCAGATTTCACTCTCCCCCCAAGTCCACTCCAAATTTTCAAAAATGAAAAATCTACTCTTGCATTCCTTATGGTAGCTTTATTTGCAAACCAGCTGGCTATTACGTAATGGGGTTATGTGAAGTTCCTTATCTTAAGGGAGATTGTATATAGCTGCAACACTCTGAAATTTGCAGTCCTTATCACCATTCCTTACATGCATATATGGGAAAAGGATAAAACACCCTGTCAAACCCGTCCTGGATTCAAACAATGCAACAATCCACCATGGTTTATAGGCCATGGTGGATTGTCATGTGAAAACCCAGCCAGTAGGCGTGAGTGAAAATGGTCTGTGCTTTTCTATGAGCAAGGCATCCTTAGTTGTATCACTACTTCATGTTTTCCAGTTTCATGATGTATTAATTTTAAAGAGATCATGCCATTTTCTACCAGTAAAGCTTCCAGGTGGCTTATAACAATGCACGACAACACTAAATAATTCATAAGTAAACCTCCACCTTTCAAATGGTTCTATTAAAGTGCAGTATGTAAACAAGATTAGAACTCGCAAGCACTGAAAATGAATTAGACCCAACTTACTTTTGGGGTGTTGTGGGTGTTGGAATACATATATGCCATTCCTTGTCAGTGCAAGGTGGTATATTTTGCTGACTAGGGCATGTTTTATGGAAAAGTAGGATGTACATGAAAATATAATATTGAAATTTCAGCCTTGTTTCCAGGTCTTTAGTAGCAATAGTTTGTTCTTGTTCATTAGTACCTCAGCAAGATTGCGCTGGCACTAGGGCTAACATGCTAAACTACATCCTGCCCTTTCCTTGTGAGAGAGAGCAGATAATGTTTATAACAGGCCTGGCTTGCAGAGTGGTCCCCTAGGGTCCCCAAAGACCATGCCTCCTTTCCCCACTCAGTAGTTTCCTGGCTTTTGTGCAGGTTTTTCCCCTTATTCTGAAAGTTGGAGGTGCCTTTCTTCTAAGTGGTAGTAAGAGCTTTAAGCTAAAATATGCTTTTATGTTTGATTTGTTTGTCCCACCCATTTTGGTTTTGGTTCTGCGCACTACTGGAATGCAGCTCCTGAGAGTGTCTCCAAAATGAATTCCAGCCTTATGCTGAAAGAGGTTCTGCACCCTGGTTAGCAAGGAGGACTATGCTATACAGTGGTACATCGGCTCAGGAACGCCTCAGTTCACAACCAAATCAGGTCATGAACAGAAATTTCTGAAAAAATTTGCCTCAGGTCGCAAACTCTGCATCGGGTGACTTTCACGATTGTGCCAGTCTCCCCCCCCCCCCCGCCCAGCATGCCCATAATTGTCCGTCTATGGCTGCAATTGCGGTCACGCTCATGCAGGGATGACGGGCATGATCGCTGTCGTGCGGGGTGGGGGAAGATGGCTGCAATCTTTATTGTTCCTTGTCACTTTGTGTCAAATTTTTGTGGTAAAAAAAAAATAGTTACAGAACAGATTAACCTTATTTACATTGAACCTTATGGGGAAATTTGACTTGGCTCATGACCTATTTGGGTCACGACCAGAGTCCTGGAATGGATTAAGTTCATGAGCCAAGGTACTACTGTACTTGGAAATACTAAAGCAACCAGTTAGTGGGCTTTTAAAATAATTTTTATTGTATTTTTACTACCAAGGAGCGTGTGAAGTGTATGTGGGATTTTCTGCTTCAGATATCAAAGTAGAATAGCTCTCCTCAGGTATTTTGCATTTTGTCTTGGAATGGTGGGAGTAGTTGGAATGGTGGGAGTGGAGATTTATCATTCTAGTTCAGACAGCAAAATGTCTTGAATGGATCCTACTTGAATGGGTTCTTTGAATGGAAACCAATAGTTGAAGTTTTACCATTTTTCCTGTCATATCAATAGCATAAAACATGTGAATTTTATGTTGAGTAGAATTTTCATAGTTTTTTTAAGGTAACCACCTAAACCCTCTTTTGGAGAATCAGATGCATTGTAGAAGGTGTCCACATATCTCTCATTTCATATGAGTGGCATTTGATTAGACTTGGACTTTTACACCTCCAAACTATAAAAGAATGCAACAGATTTTCCATAAAGAAACAAAAGATACCCCAGCAACATACTGAGTATTTATTAAAAGAATGTCTGAATCCCTTTTCTGCTCCCCAGCATCTCAAAGTGGCATTCAATACAATCACAATGTAAGAACAGTAGATTCTTTAAAATCAAATACTAAATGCAATGTTAAATGTCAGTGTATCAAAGGTGAAACAATACAGTTTTATGCTGGCTAAAACTCAGTAGGGTTTAAGACAATTTAAACATTTAAAATAATTTCATAGCAACTTTGAGAAATAAGGCTTTTCTAGCAAGGAGAAAAATTCAAAAGCAAAAACCCCACTAACAATTTTTATTCATAGAACATTTTAGGTATCTGCCAGCTTTTAAACCTTAATAAAGGCTATTTTTCATACCAAATGTTAAATTCATAGAGCAAATTATTTCAATTTTTCCAATTTTATAAATAGGGTTTTATGCTTTATGAAATATTTCATATTTTTTATTTTTTAAATATGAAATATCTGCTTCAGCTTAACTCTAGAATTTCTCCTGTGGATGATTAGTAGATTTTAGTAAAGCTCATGAAAAGCAATCTGCATACATGGAACAATTAAAAAATAATTCTGTGGTGCTGCTACCCATTGTGGGCAACCTATTTAATGCCAGAAGAATGGCATATTAAGGTGCAGGGGATACATATGAGAACTAATTATTCAGTAGTAATGACCAGGATTCTGGCCATTTTCTAGTGTCACTAGATGAAGGTGTTTAATCTGCTCCTTCCCTCCAAGTTTCTGAAAATGACCAGAGTGTCATTTGATGATGCCTGGATTTGTTGGTGAAAGTGCAAAAGGATAAACAATGGACAAATACCCACTGTCTGGGTGGAAGTGCTTTGCATGCATACATGGGCCTCTTTGGTTCTCAGGTATTACATGCAACATTTTGAGTTCAGTTCTTTAACAGTAACATAGATCACTAACCTATCTCATTGCTAGATTGAACCAGGAAAAGCACAATAGGATTTAAAGTCAAAGCACATGCTTTGCCAGTAAAGTACTATCTATCACATTTGGCAAGACATCTTTTAAGACAGAGGACTTTCTCAATTCTCCTTTGAAATGGAAATAGTGAGGAACTGAAGTTGGGCTTTTCTGCAAGGAAACACATACTCCACTATTGAACTGTGTGACCTTTTCCAAGAGTAAATGGTCATATTGGCTGAGTTTGCACATGACAACCTACCATGGCCTATGAACCATCATGGGTTCTTCTTTAGTTGAATCCAAGTAGGATTTGTCAGGTTGCTTATAAACCCACCCTGATGAGCCATGGCTTGTAGTAGTGCCTGATCCATGATGGGTTGTTGAACCTGGATGATGCAGTTTATTATAGGGTTTGCAGGAAGAGCCAAACAGGAGTGATCAATCAAGCAGTGATTGTTATGTGTGAACTTAATGTCCAGTTAGGTACCTTATAGAGATAGGAAGCTACTTTATGCATAATATACTGACTGATGCTAACTTTCCAGAATTTCAGATGTGCCTGTCTCAGTTCTACCTGGCAATGTGTGGGATTGAGTTGGGGGCCTCTTACATGCAAAGCACTTGCTCTACCACTGATGTTGAGTCCTTCCCAATATATAGAATCCTCCTATCTGTCTATTTATTTGAGAAGTGGGGACATTGTCCTAGCTAAAGGTTTGGTGAAGTTGATATATATGGGGGAATGGGACAGTCATTATGAGTTTTCTTTTGCTTTAGTTTCTTTTACCTGTTTTAGCATCTGCTGCTGCCAATGAACTTAGTGATATTTTTGTTTCTAGAAAAGACATTACCCTGAAGTTGCAGATGTTAAAGGTCGAGGCTCAAACTTGAACAAAAAGCTTAAAGAGATTGCTAAAAAAATTGAACAGGATGAAGGAAGAAAACATATAATGGTATGAAACTACAAATTATATTGGTGTTTTAAAAATGTGATTCTATGGCAAAAATGCTGGCTGAGTGGCTAGTATTTGGAGAGTTCTCTTAGGATACAGATGGGATTCATTGCTAAGGAGAGCTAGAAGCTCACGTGTACCCCTCCATTCTCTTCTCCATGGGAGAGGAGGTACTCGGTGCACCACATAGATTGGAGCATTGAGGACAGGCATCTCCATGTTCAAATAAATACATAGTTTACTAATTCTCATGGTACCTTCTACCTGGGGAAATTAGGGAGCCAGCACTGCTTCTGGTTTTTACTTTGTTTTTATACTGTAGTTTTAGCTTCTGAAATTTTTGTGTTGTGGTTTATCACTGCCATATTTTATTGTTTTGTGAAACATATAAAGAGTGAGTGATAGAGGGCAAGATATCGAGCAGTGTAGAAATATAATAAAATAGTACATCTAAAATTGTACATCTTCCAGTACCTTGAACATTTAATCTCATTTTCAAATAGTTTGTCTGGCCTTGTAAATTACTCCCCCTTGCCTGCCCCATTTGCTGGTTCCCAATTAGAAGGTATTATCTAGCTCTTCCATCCTTTCTCCCTTAACATATTTTCTACAGTGAGAAAAAAGATGGAAGAAGCAGTCCCATGACATGGGATCATTACAGGTGGGAAAATATCTAGACCCCTCCCCCAAGTAAAAAATCTGAATGAGGCAATGTGATGGCATGATAAAAGCTGCACCTGGAAGTACCCTTTGTAGAATGTGTAAGAGAGAGTTTTAAATCCCACTTTCACAATTGCAGAGCCTAGAAAAATTGAATGGAAGGTAGCTGGAGGGAAATTCAGGACAAAACAAAGTAATGCTCCATACAGTACATAGTCAGATCATGAAATTTGCAAAGCAATGGTTGGGTGGTTTTTAAAATGAGATTAGACAAATTCATTGACAACAAACTTATCAATGGCTAGTGATCATTATGTTTATGTATCGTCTTGCATATCAGAGCAATTGCTAGGGAGAAAGGGCAGGAAGTGCTGTTGCATGTCCTGCTTAGCTTCACAGAGGATCTGGTTGACCAGTCTGGGAACAGAATGCCAAAGCAGGTTGGCCTTTGGTCTGATCCAGCATGGCCTTTCTTAAGCTTTTAACCTTTGTGCTCAGTATGAAAATGCAGTAGCTTGATGGCAGAAGGGGTGAAGTGCTCCATGCCCACTTGGATTCTTTACTAGGCAGGTAAGAGGTAATGTATCCTTTTCCGCACCCAGCATAGAAACACAAAGGGCTGTTACAAGAGTGGTGGTAAGTTCCGAACTCTATCATAGGTTGCCATTGTTTATAAAATGTGTTTATTTTGCATTCACTGTTGAAGTTACTTTCACTAGATACTATGACCAGACATCTTTTAATATATGCAGATTGTCTTGCACCTGTGTAAAACAAGTTTTGGATCATGTGGCCCTTGGGAATACTGTGAGAATATCATATTATAAAGTAGGGGTGAGCAACTATGGTCCTCCAGTTGTGTTAGCATAGAACTCCCATCATCTTTCCAACAGTTATACTGGTAGGACTATGGGAGTTGTGGGCCAAGACAGAGGATTACAAGTTGCTCACACCTGCTATAAAGATCATCAGACTGATTATTGGAGTCAGGACATAAAAATGTAGCCCATATCAAAAATTTGTTGACTTAAAGTTCCTTTTTCTTTAGGTTACAAAGGATTTTCCTCTTCCAAAAGGTAGGTTGGCACACTGTAAAGTGGTATGCAGTTGTCACACATAGAAATAATCTGTCATTAAGGTAGAATTCCCCATTTTCTTCCTTTAAACAACTTTACTTGGAAAGCAAAGCAATTGGTGCCAGTAGCACTTTCTTCCCGATATATGTGCTTGCTACGGCCATGCTTTGAGGGTCCTGTTTTTGTTTACAAATAGAAATGAGGGCTTTTTCCCTCAGCAGAGAAAAAATATATGCGGAATTCATAAGCTGGTTAGAATTCAATGTGTTAATGTTTCCTTTACTAAGTTAAGAGGAAAGAATACATGAAACACTCTTCAAAGTTAGTAAAATTCTAAGACAAGCAAGAGTTTTGTAACAAACTTATTCTGGGATAAGTTTTCATGAACACTGTCCAACACATTAGATGCGCTGCCCATTTTGTCAAATGTACGTTGTTCATGAAAGCTTATGCCATAATACAACTGTTAGTGTCCAGGGTGCTACAAGGCTTTTGGTTGCTTTTCTAGCAGCAGACCAACATGGATGCCCCTCTGGATATTCTAACATTGTAAGCATTCTTGGTGCACTTGAATTGGGATGTTAAATTGTAAATGTAACCCAGTACTATTTTCATGTGCTATCGAGTGAAAGTTCTTTAGAAGCTTTTCACAGAAAAATACTTTTGAATGTAAGCAGAACACATTTCTCCAGCTTAATCCTTTCCCATCCTTTTCTTCATTCTACAGATGACAGATATGCAGTTCAGTTTACGGATTCTCTTGTTACTTGGTTTGCAGAAGGTGAGCTGTTAGATTGAATGAAGAAAGGCTGTAGATTCAAATCTATTGTTTGTTTGATCTACAATATTTATGATAATGTCTAAGGAATTGCATTTAATTAGTTTAACATCATCCATGTTTTTTTCATGAAAATCAGAAGATGGAAGATTTATGTTCCAAAATCTCTCCAGCCATGTCCAGTCTTTTTTCTGTATACCCTTCCAGCATTGCACATGGTTCTTTCCCATTTCTTCTAAATCATTATGGACAACAGAATTGAGTTAGGCAATGATAACCTCAGGAACAAAACACAATGAACATGCAGACTAATAGCAGAGAAAAAGAGTTTGATCCAGTTTGATCATACTTTTCATGTTAAGTCAGTCAGTCATGATTTACATTTATTTATTTTATTTATTTAGTAAACTTCTATGCCGCCCCATTCACCCCATGTCCCATTAATTTCAGTGTCTAATTTAGTAATTACTTAAATTCGGAGTCAGAGAGGGACCAGTCTACAAGTTCGTTATTGTACTGATAATGTGAATTATCAGTTAAAAAAAATAAGGGAGATAGCGTGGGGAGAAATCCATGTTTGATTGGCAACTAGTGGTTGGGTAGACAGTGGTTAGCCCTGGATACCATGTTTTGATAATGGCATGAACGTTGATTACTCCCAGAGTGAGTTTCCTTTCAACTTTGCTTTTAGTTAATGCTCATAAGTTTCATCTGAGAACTATCTCCAGCCTTTACATTTGCAATTTACTTTTTGTACACCCTGATGGCATTCTCTAAAAATGGCAGGGTTCTGTAGTCCTTTAAAATATTAACATTTATTGTTGTATACATTTGTATGTGCTGGAGCCACATCTGGAGATTCATGAGGCAGATATATAAATGTATGTGATGTATATAGGGGTGTGAGTGTGCGAGCAAAAATAACCTTTTTTCAAGTAGAGTATAATAGACGGACAACTGAATTCAGAAAACAGATGCTCCATATGTAAGTTTTCATGATTATTCTCATACTGTTAGCCATAAACATACTGTTAGCCATAAACTTGGATAGGTTTGGGTGGGATACTCTGGCCAGTTCCATGTTCCAAGTAAAACAGCCTTGCAATACCCAAAGCGGGAGAAAAATGCATCTAGAATTCTTTCCAGTCTATAATATGATCTTGACTTGTGCATGAATGTTCAGGGTTGCCTTCTGGTGTCCTTTGGACTTTTTTGTCTTGGTCCAAGATGACTTTCAGGAATTTTTCAATTTTTCCTACAAATTGAGACTTGGAAGGGTACATACATGTTCATCTCAAATAATTCTGGATCATCTCTTGCCTCAGCTCCTGCTGTCTTCAGTTTAGGCCAGGTCTTTTCTAAAGTTATTGGGATCATTGTTCCGGTTAGGTTCCCTACTTTTACTTGGGAGGCTCATCAGAATGTGTCATTGGCACTGGATCCTACAGGTCAGATAAGTAATTGGGCTGCTGTAAAAGCATCCCTTCACTTGCAGCAGGGGTGATGCAACTTTGGAGGATCATGAGGATCAATTTTCCATCCCTGGAACCCATTGTAGGCCACCCCCCTGCTTCAAAATTGTCACTGACAAAATTTGCTGATGGCAAAAGCCTCATTTTCATTAAAAAAAAGTGTACACGCTTGGGAGTCTCATTGGGGAGCACAGTTTTGCATTAAAATAAGGCATAAGTTCCCATGTACCACTTTTTGAAAGTGAAAATGTGGCTCATTTATTGTTGCCACTGCACCCCAAAATCAGGTGTTGATGAGGGATGTAAAACAGCCTGTGGAGGTTGCATGCAGGCCAAGGATTGCCCTCCTCTGACCTATTGAATCTAAATCTAAGCAGTTTACTTGAACATTTCCTGTTTCACATGTCTTCAGACTGAAAAGGTCTGAAGATGATATCTTTGGAACAGTGCTGTATTTCATAGCTTGGAATTGCCATTAGTGGCTTGAATAATGCTTCCTACTTCTGATTTTTTTTCTGTTATTTTGATATTTTAGCATAAAGGAATTCCAAAAATGCCAACCTTTTGAAAAGTTATTACTTGATAGGCTTTATTTTTAGATGACATAGATATAGGAGAGAAGAAGAAAGAAGACCCTAAAAAGGATAATGCAACAAAGGCTGAAGAAGATGCCCCAAAAGCTGAAGAAACCAACAAAGATGCAAAAGCTGAGTAAGTTTTTAGATAGATATTTGAAAATAGCCTTTAAAAATTGTCTAAACAAACATATCTAGATAGGAACTTGTTTGCTTATGACATCTAATGTGTCTTGGAATTCAGTATATATGATTTAATATCTTCGTGGGGAGTTGTATAGATTTAAAGTATCAATACTTTAATGTTGCATATGTGATTGTTAGGAGACATCAGAGCTCTGTTGCAACACCCCAAACCTCAGTTTTTGTGCATATTCCAATATCAGTTCAGAAGGCAGAGCAAAAGTCAGTTCTTCATTGTGGTATCTGTGCATCACACATATGGGTGCTGCACCTATACAGTTGCTCTACTCAGGAAGATTTGTCTAGCTATGCCTAGAACTTTGTGTGAGAACCCTGCCCCCTCCTTTCCCCTATATACAGTGGTACCTCGGCTCAACGAATGGCTTAATTCACAACCAAATTGGGTCGTGAACAAAAATGTCATAAAAATTTTGACTCAGGTGGCGAACTCTGCATTGGGTGGCAACCGCGATCGTGGCCATCTCCCCCACCCCCGGAGTGGGGAGATGGCCATGATTGTGCTGGGGGTGGGGAGGAGATGGCTAGATTGCTCCCATCTTTCCTGCAGAAGCACAACTGCAATCTCTGTCATCTCCCTGCAGTATGATCGTGCCTGTCTCCCCCCACAACGCACCCGCATTCATGCCCGTCTTCCCCCCCACACGTGCCAGGATGACGGGCGTGTGCAGGAATGACGGGCGCAAACGCAGTTGTGCTGGGGGGGCAGGGAGATGGCCACGCTCGTGCTTGGGGTGGCGGGGGCGGAGATGGCCACGATCTTTGTTGTTCTTTGTCATTTTGCTTCACATTTTTCTGATTAAAAAAAATAGTTACAGAACGGATTAACCTTATTTACATTGAACCTTATGGGGAAATTTAACTTGGCTCACCATCAATTTGGGTCACGACCAGAGTCCTGGAATGGATTAAGTTCGTGAGCCAAGGTACCACTATGATTGGTGGGCTCCTGCCATTTTCTCAGTTTGCTTTCAACCACTGTTAGCAAGGTGCATCAGTTGTCTGTAGTGTTCTTTATTTTCCTTTGTCTCAGAACTTCCTTTTAGAACTTACTCTTTACCATTCTTTTCCCTCACATTTCTGTCATTCTGTTTTTCGATCCCTGTTCTCTTCTTGTTACTTTTTCCCTTCTTCAGTCCACTTATAAAAAAAATGAAGAAACCCTTCTATCATCTTACCCTTTTCTTACTCAATGTTGCTGAGCAAACCAGCGTTCCAAAAGTGTGCTGGCTGTGGTGTTAAAATGCTGACTTCTGATGGGCATTTCTTGTGCCTGTTTTGCTTGGGCGAAGAGCACTGTGTTGATAAGCATAAGCATTGCCAGGCCTTTATACAGCAGGCTTGTGAGCTCTGGGCTGTGGGTGGCAAGAAAGGAGGGGCAGAACACCAGGTCCAAGGTGCAAACTCAAGCTGAGTCCAGAGCTCAGTACAGGCCAGAGGCTTGGGACAAGTCAGCAGGTCAAAGGCATAGATCAGGGGTGTCTAAACTTTTTGCAAGAAGGGCCAGATTTGGTGAGGTGAAAATGTGTGGGGGCCGACCATTCAGCCTGACATTCTTTGAACCATTAACATTAAATGCAAATGAACTATTTTATGAAAGACTAACCAAATAACTTAACTGCACTAATGTGAAGGGTGATACTGAGATCTCGTCTACATTATATAGGCCAGGTCTGGCTCAAAAACAGTGGTTTTAATGCACAAGATGTCACGCAGGTGAAAGTCACTTAGTCTCGTCCTCATGCGGTTCTTGTTAATGTTCATAATCGAGAATGTCTTCTCGCACAAGTATGTTGAACCAAACAAGCTCAGCATTTTCTTAGCAAATGTTCGAATCTCTTGGAACCTGTCTTTATCCAGCTGGTGGTAAAAGTTGACAAGAGGGAGCTGTTGGTGCCGACTGCGACACTCGGTGTCACACTGCAGCTCAATGAGCTCCAGCTGCAGGTGGTCTGGAGCGTCATCAGGGTCCACAGAGAAAGGAGATAAAAAAGCGTGATCTCCTTTTCAATAGCTGCAAAATCCCGAAAGCGCTGTTGAAACTCCTCAGCCAGAGATGAGATGTCTGCTTCATACCTCCTTATTTGCGCACTCATATTGTTCTGTGGAAAACTGGTCATTATTTCCTGCAGCGATGGGAAATGTGTGGTATTGGGCTGCGTTTGTGACAGGTACCTTTGGAAAAGTAGCAGCTTGGTCCCAAAGGCTTTGATATGTGAATACAGTTGGCTTACCACTGCATTTTACCCCTGAAGGCTCGTGTTCAGCACATTCAGATGTCGTGTTATGTCAACTAAAAATCCAAAATCAGCCAGCCAAACAGGATCAGATAGCTCTGGCATTGGTTGTCCCTTTTTTGCCAAGAATTGTCCGATTTCCTCCCTAAGAGAGTAGAAGCGCTGCAGCGCAGACCCCCGACTGAGCCATCTTACCTTGTGATACACAACATCTCCATATTCAGTCTGGATGTCGAGTAGAAACTGTTGAAACTGGCGGTGGCACAGGGCTTTGGAGTGAATATAATTAATAGCCTTCATCACCAGTTTCATAACATGATCATATTTCAGATGTTTGGCACAGATAACTTGTTGGTGAATAATACAGTGGAGTTTTATAGCTTTGCCTCCTTCTTCGCTGACTTTGTTACAGACTAGGGTTGATAATCCACTTTGCTCACCAGCCATGGCAGGTGCGCCATCCGTAATAATCCCAGTGACTTTATTCCACGGTAGTTTCATGTCATCTAAGGTGGAACAAACAGAAACAAATCTGTTCCTCTTGTTTGGTCCTTAAGGCTCTGGAGGTCAAGTAGCTCTTCACTCACGTTCATCTTATTGTCCACTCCTCCCAAAAAAATCAATAACTGAGCGGTGTCAGATGAATCCGTGCTTTCGTCGCAGGCTAACGAAAAAAAGTCAAACTCCACTCCTTTTGCCTCTGTCTCTTAATATCAGATGAAATATCTTCAATTCTCCGTACCACAGTGTTACGAGCCAGGCAAACATTGGCAAACTCTTGCTTCTTCTCAGGACAAATTTTCTCCACCATTCTCATCACGCAGTCTTTAACAAATTCACCCTCAGTAAAAGGTTTGCCGTGCTTGGCAATCAGAGTTGCCACCTCGTAGCTTGCCTTTGTGGCATTTTCATTTGACTCACGGGCTCTTGTGAAAAAGCGCTGCTGTGCTGTTGAAGCAGCTTCCAGTTCCTTCAGTTTTTCACCACGTTCGTTCCCAGTTAGCTTGTTGTAGTTAGCATGTTTCATATGGTAGTGCCTCTTGATATTGAATTTTATTTATTTTTCTATTTTCTATTTATATCCTGCCTTTTCCTACAAAGGGCTCAAGGCAGCTTACATCATTCTCCTTCTCCATCTTATCCCCACAACAACAACCCTGTGAGGTAGGTTGGGCTGAGAGTCTATGACTGGCCCAAAGTCACCCAGTTGGCTCCATGGCTGAGCGGGGACTAGAAACCGGATCGCCTGAGTCCCAGTCCCACACAGCCACAGTCTCTTGGCAAATTAGGCAGACACAGTTGTTTCGTATTTCAGTGAAAAAATACTCCAATTTCCACCTGGAAGCGGTGGCCTTTTTTTAGTTACAGTCGACATTTTAGAAATGGGCAAACAAGCCTTGTGTCACAAGGCTGACTCAGGTCTACTGCCATCTTCTGGTGAAATATAACCACCAGCCTTGAAGGAGCAGGAGGCAGCAGGGGACAGCTGCGGGAACCACTGTGCAGCGAAGGGAAAAATGCCGGCTGGCAGGGATGAGTGACAGGCTGAGCCGGCGGGGAGAAGAGGTTGTGGGCTGCTCGAAATTCGAAAATGGGCCGCAGTTGGCCCCCGGGCGGACTTTGGACATGCCTGGCATAGATGAAAGCAGTCCAAGTTTGGCATGCACAAAGGGAGAGAGAGAGTGTGTGAGTGAGTCAGAGCATAATTCCAAAGTCAGTTTACTGGAGAGAGATTGATGCAAGGGTTGTAGCAGGCTGGAGCGAGGTAGGGCCTATTTGAGGGAAAGACAGGAAAAGCAGGAAGGGCACTGAGTGGAGCAAGGTGGGAACAGACTTGAACAAGGCAGGAACGAATTGGAGCAAGGCTTGAAAACAGCAGGAACAAACTGGAACAAGGCATAGCAAAGCAGGGGCCAGAGCACAGAAAGTCACCAGGACACTTACATTGCTATGGCAAGGAGCGGCAGTGCGGTGAATCCTTTTATGGTGGTCTTCAAGGTCTCCAGTTGCATTGCATAGTTGCTCCACAGGTGCTCCTTGCAAGTAAGCACAGGTGCTTCTGGTTCTGCAAGCAGAGTTATTCAGGCCCTGATCCTGACAAGCAAGAATCATGTACGCCAGCTCCTCATGGAAATGTGGGATCGTGCTCTCGGTGCCATGCATGAGGTGACAGAAAAGGAAGAGCAGGCCATTTCATCCCCCTAAGTAAAAAGTGTTTGACGACCTTTGTGGCAGTGAAATCTAAGCCAAGTACCTCCCATCCTGAACCTCCTTTGGAATCAGAGGTGCCCAGGAAATGGAAGGAGAAGAGAAAGCACATTGAAACCGAGGATGCTGGGCTGGTGAAAAAGGCCAAGAAACAAAAGAAACATTCTAAATGGGCAGACCGTTTGCCTACTGGAATGGAATGACGCAAGCTGCTGTTGAGAGAGGCGACTTCCATGGGGCTCTCCAAACTGAGAGATTCGCAGATTCGAAGATCTCCAATCCAATGGTCCCTAATGCCTGTTCCAACCCAAGTGCCCACTTCCAGCATTGTACTTGGATGGGGAGATCAGAGACTCTTCAGTCCCCTTGCTCCCTAAGTCACCCTTGGTTCTGATCCTACAGATGCCTCATCCCTTCTTGGGACCATTGCCAGCTCAACCATTGCTGGCTTCATCCCGCCGCTCCATCCCTTATGTTGATTTTGCTTTGC